TCCACATCATCGCTGGATCTTCGGAGGAAAACTGCACCCTTCTACAGGAGCACTGCTTCAACTGAACCACATCTGTCATCCAGGAGGACTGCAGCCACCATTTATACGGACTGCTACCAACACCCTGACTGACAGGGTGTCAGGTTGTATTTCTGACTTTGTCGGTGGTTGTTTCTTTTATATTATTGCATGTATTTTATTTTTTCCTCTTTTCTCCTATTAAATTGTATTACTGACTTGGAGTCTCGTACTGGTTTTACTTTCAAACCAACACACCTCTGGATCTAGCAAAGTACTGTCTTTGTGTAGCTTCTCATGGGATACATCCACAAGATCCCTGCTGGCTGATGTTCTCTGGAGACTCGGGAAGGTGCTTATGTGGCTTGTGAGCTCTGAGTGGGAGTCAGGCAAACCCTGGAGAGGAAACAACAGTCAGTGGATGAAACACACCCTGAAGGACAAGCTCGGAAAAAGATTTCCTCTCGCAAATCTCCAAAAATCTCTTAAAAACAGTAAGATATTTCCAGGTGACAGAACCCAATGATTTCATGCAAAGCTTGTTTCCAGCACTGTTGGGAAATGATTCCTTGAAGTACAGCTGCTCCATCCAAAGGGAATGAGCCCATGTGGGAAGCCAGGAATCCACCAAATACATGCAAATGTCACTATGCTAAAGGCTGTTCCAGTCTAACACAGGGCTCTGGATTCCATCTCCTCCTGATCTTTTTGATGGGAAAACACTCCCTCCTTTAAGGAGACCACAGGCTAATGGGTGGCTGAATTCCAACCAGACTTTCAGGGATGGATGATTTAGATTCAAAGCTCCCTGGATCAAAAGTAGGCTGAACTACTTCGAGACAAGGGTTAAAAAAGGACTCTTCCCATTTTCCCCAACATCCCCCAGATTAGACAATCCCATTCCATGCGTGTATTGATAGACGGACCTAGCCTCTTCCTCCCAGCCAGGCTGTTTTCATCCCAAGCTTTGATCCTGGGTTTCAGTGTGGATTTGTTGTAGCACGACAAAGCCCTGGCCTCTAGATGCCACTGTTCCTCCAGCAGCACCTGAGTCTGTGGAGTTGTGTCAACAGCCCAGGATTTCCATGCATTTTTACTTGGATTAAAGGGCGTGACAGGACTCACAAATTGATCTAAGGCTTCTCAGAGTGATAAAAAATGAGATTTGCCATGGCTGTGCCCCCTCATTGTCAGTCTCCAATTGCCAGGTCCCTTTGTCCAGGCCACAGATCTGCCAATCTCCTAAATTTTTACCCTAATTTTCAGCACTTGTCCAGGCAGCCCTTGGACAATTTTGTTGGCACCTCTCACTGTCTTTCCTCTGTGGCCCAGCTAGAATACAAGAGTTCCAGCAACATTCCCAGCAGGGAAACCCTCAGAAGCTGATTTAGCACCTAAATTGGTTCAAGCCAAGTGTGCCGAGGCCCTTGGGGAAATCCCAGCAGTGCTGGGATCCCAGCAGGATGTTCATTTGGGTCTGGGGTGTTCTATTCCTGCAATCAATACCTGAGTCTAAAAACTCCCATTCTGCCCTCTGGAGAATCAGGGTTTGGCTACAAAGTTGGAACTACTGATCTGGTATTAGATTCACTGAAAGGAAAATAAATTCTGGAGTTAGAGATGATGCCATGAGAGCAGATGGATTGAAAACCCTCCACCAAAGGTTTGAAAGTGGCTGGGCTGGAGAAACGCATCAAGAGATGCCAGGCAATGAGTTTGGGGGACAGCTGGGGATGTTTCATGGAGCATCCAAAGGCAGCTGGCTCCTGCAGGGAGTCCCACCAGAGAAGCTGGACATACCTGGCTGCCCAGAACCACCTTCTCAGCCTTCAAGTCTTCCCACAGCAACTCCAGCTCAGATGCCAGTTGTTTTCTCCTTTCTCTCCTCTCTCCCAGCTGACTCCCCAACTTGTCTATCGTTTCCTGACAGCTTTCCAGCATCTGGAACAAGAAATGTTCAGAGTCACTTCCACAACATTGTTTTTTCTATGCAGAGAGAAGCAGATTGTAGGAAATGTGTCTTCTAGGAAAGAAGGAGAGGAGAAAAATGGTTCTCAAATGTTTCCAGTGGTATTTCTATACCTCTTATCCAGGGCTCACAGAACCTCCACTGACCCAAAACACCATGGGAAGCTCTTCTCCCATCTCTGTCTGGCTGACACACCAGGCAGATCAAATTGTTGGGCTGGCAAGGAACAAACGGACAGGAAAGAACCCAGAACCTGATGGGAATCAGCTTTAAATGTACCTACACATCCCTTGGTTTCATTAAACCCTAAAGAAGAATTAAGCACCTTCACATAGGTAGAAACTTCACACTCATGGGGAGACAACAAGCTCCTCAGCTGACACAGCTGAAGGCAAGACAACTTCCTAAGGGGAGAGTTTTCATGGAGATCACATTGGCTGCTTTCCTCCAAAATCCATTCACCTGCATGAGCTGAGGGGCTATGAATCCTCAGGAGAGGGTGACAAAGAGCATCCACAGGAGAGAGTCACTTCAGATGCTCATTTAAGATGCTTATTTTAAACATTTCTAAACAGAACAGTTCATTTCCCGAGGAAAAGCTCTCACCTCCTGCATCTCCTGAGTTCCAGATGTCACCTGCTCGTTCCCAATCATCTCACTTTTGTTCTTCTGCACCTCAAACAACTCTGTTTCCAAAGAGGTGATCTGAACATGGACAAATCCCAAGTTAAATCCAACCAAGACTCACAACTAAATGCACAACTACTCCTAGAGTGCTCCCTGTGCTGCTGTTATAGGATATGGCCCATGTTGGAAGCAAGGAACAGGAGGGGATGTGCATGGCCAGCTCCATCTCATCCCTCATTCTTGCTGCTTCCAAGGAAGAAGGAGCCATCTGGACTCAAGCCAGAAAAATATGGAATTCTGCTCCACAAAAGGAGTGGAACAACCCAGGCACATGATAAAAACTCAAAGCTTCCACACATTGTGATGCTCCTCCAACATGGAGGACCCCAAGACACCCCAGTTTAGGTGCTGGGTCATCCTTGTTCCCTGTGCTCAGAGTGCTGATTTTATCCAAGCAGATGTTCAGCCTGGTCCATCAGTACTCATCCTGGCCCCTTCACTGCTCATACGAAGTTTTCAGTCCCTCCAGAAGGGCTCCAAGGACTCAGGATTTGGAACAGCAAAGCACTGACCTCTGTGACCACTGACTTCTGTTCCTCCTGGCACTTCCTGGCAGGTGGGAGTTTGGAAAAGGTCTTACTCTGCATTCGAATCACTCCACAAGGGCATCTGCCCTTCAGGGAAAAGTTATTGGTTCTGAATTTATAAAAGGCTCAAAGGAGTTCAGAGCAGCCCAGATAAGGATTATCCCAGAGGAACAGCTCAGCTTCTTTTCCCCATAAGGGATCCCACAGACCCTTTTCCAAAATCCAAGTCTTGGCACTGGCAGCTCCCCTGCTCCACTGCTGGCAGAAGCCTGGACAGCTTCCCTTTCATTCCTTAGGCTTGAAATCCAGTTTGAGCCCCAGGCTAGACTGTCTAACTGCCTGAGCTTGGCTCTCCTGAAATGAACTGGGACACTGGAGGGAGATGAAGTCCAGCTCCACAGAACCCCAGACTGGTTTGGATTGGAAGGGACCTTAAAGCCCATCCAGTTCCACCCCTGTCATGGGCAGGGAGGGACAGTTTTCTCTATCCCAGGTTGCTCCAAGCCCCGTTCAACCTGGCCCTGGACACTTCCTGCGATCCAGGGGCAGCCACAGTTTCTCTGGACAACCTTTCCAGGGCCTCCCCTCCTTCATAGCCAAGAAATTCTTCCTCATATGTAATCCCAAAGCCAAAGAAGTGCCAAGTCCCTGCCAATCACAGTCCATTTCCAAAGCAGCACCTCAAAGCCCCTGAGCTTTGCTCTCCCTGTGAGCTCCTGGCACCAACTGGGTCTGCTGGAGCTTCTAGCAGGGGATGGTCTCCAACACACAGGAAAGCTGCTGCAACACTGCTTTTTGAATTAAAGATATGAGCTTACCAATGTGTTAAAAGGTATTAAAAGTGGGGTGAAACACCCAGACCTCTCACAGAAGAGCTAAAGGACAACAAACCCCTCTCCTTTTGCATGACTTGATGATTATTTTGGGTTCAGCAAGACTTTGAAACTCCAAAAGGGATCTCAAATGCAAAATACACCTCCCCTCCTCACCCCCAGCCAGTCTTTGGTGAGAAGTTGATAACCAGCAATGTATTTCTTTATTCTCCCTCCAAGCCGTTAGCTTTTAAGCACTTAATTTGTGCTCCCAAATCGCATGCCAGCAGCAGAACAATCCTCACTCTGTATCCCATTGCCCTGGTCCTGAGTCACAGCCTGACCAGCCAAGGCTTCTGCAGCTGTGCCAGGACCAAAAACCCTCCCAAGTCCTTCCCAGCTGGGGCAGGACTGGCAAACACCCAGCAGCACTGCCTCGCTCAGGGTCCAGCCCCTTCCCTCCTCATCTCCAGGGCCCTTAAAGCCCCCTGGGAATGCAAGACACAGCTCAGCAACCTCCAATTAAGCAGATGGATCCACCCAAGGGTTAAAACCCCCATCCTCATCCATCCTGCCTCTGCTCCATGGCCCTGCATCCCTCAAAATGGTTCTTTTCCAGCTGCAGCAGCTGCCAAACTTTTGCAGACAAAATGCCTCACATCTCCTTGGCTCCCGAGCATGGCATTCCCAGGGATCTGTGCAACAGCCCACAGAGCAAAGAGGCGATTTGTCCAAACTGAAAACACATCGTGTTTGATTTGTGGAGGGCTGTGTTTACTCCGGTCCAAGGGGGAAGAGTTTGGTGTGAGTTGAACAAGCCCCAAGTTAAATCAAAACACTGCCACAGTGGACAGACCCTTTTCCATCCCATCCCAGAGCAGGCCCGTGGCTCCTCCAAGACAGGAGACAAACATGGTGCCACTGGCACCGTCATTAAGGTATTTGAACTTGCCTTCAGCCTGTTTTTAGAGGCTTTTCCCAGAAGCTACTGGGAATTCCTCATCTCTTCCTTTAAACAATCCAACTTAAGAGTTGTGTGTCTACATGGGATAGGCCAGCACCATCTCTGACACCATGCTTTAACCCAACACCAGGTGTTAGGACATGTCATTCCTCACTGAAAACGGGGGGGTGGGGGAGGAGGGGCTAAAACCTCACTTCAGAAATCCCCTAGGGACACTCTGGACTGGTGCAGCTACCAGTCAGGAAAGATCAATCCAGGCTCACTGCAGAGAGAATTTCCAGCACAGAGGGCTGAGGACAAGAGCTCCAGCAAGGAAGAGCTCCTGGCCAGGCAGCAGAACCTCAGCCCATGGGAAGGACCTCCTCAGCCAGCCTATGTGGGGAGAATCCCACCTACCTGGCCAGACCAAAGTCTGTTTTCCTCTGTTCTCTCTGGCTGTAAATTCCCCAGCTGCTCCTTCTGTGAGAGATCAGGGGCCCTGGTAGTGATGCTCCACACAGAATTTTCCTTGGGGAAGTAGTGCCAACCCAGCCTGTAGTGCCACTGCTCTTCACAGAGCTACCCCAGAGGGATGGATAGTCCTTCCAGAAAACTGAGGCTAAAAACCACCCTGACAAAAGCAGCATCAGACTGAGAGGCTTCAGCCACAACTTACTCCTTGCTCAGAGGATGGAGGTGGCCCTGCAGGTGCTCAAGGAGATCCCCAGTGTTGCTATGGCTCTGGAAAAACAGATGTTCAATAACTGCTTCACATCCGTGATTTCCCAAAAATTCCTAATTGTCACATGCAAATAATAAAGAATTTCTATCCACATCCTGAAGTCAAAGCATTATTTGAGTGTACTTGTCCTATTAACAGGAATATATCCAGGTTACCCTGGGATGAGGGTACCCAAAACCAAGTAGGACCTAGGTTAGGAAGATGCTGCTGAGGTCACATTTTGATCGAGATTAAGTAGAGCTTCTCAAGATGGATCTCAGAACTGTCCCCAGAGAGGTGACCAGCCCCACTCACAGCAGCTTTTCCACAAGAGAGGAAAAATTCCCTGTCCCTCCATTTGTGTGTTCAGAGGGATGTTCCCAGGTACTGCAGATCCTGAGCCTTCACACTCAACACTGTCTGACACATCCCCAAGATCCTGTCTCTGGGGAAAAGCCAAAGTGCAATCTTCTGCCACCAGGACACTTAACTGGTGATATTTCCTGGGATGAAGGAGTATCAGTGTCCCAGACAGTAGGGTCAGATGTGATATTGGGAAAGATTTCTTCTCTGTGAGGGTGCTGAAGCCCTGGCTCAGGTTGCCCAGAGAAGCTGTGGCTGCCCCATTCCTGGAAGTGTCCAAGGCCAGGTTGGACAGGGCTTGGAGCAACCTGGGATAGAGGAAGGTGTCCCTGCCCATGGCAGGGAGTGGAATGAGATGGGATTTAAGGTCCCTACCCAATCAAACCAGTCTGTGAGGGGGAACAGGAGATGGAAAAGACAACACTTCCATAACACTTGGGAATCAGCACTTCCAACCAAGAGTCATTTACTCCCTGCTAGGATTTTTCCTTCCCCGTCTCTCCCAAACTAGCAGGTTTTTCTGCCTGTTTTTCTTGTCAAACTAAACACAGCAGAGTGCAGGACCAGGTCAAACATCATTCTATTTTTCCAATTAGAGAGAAAAGCAGATGAAATGAAGGAAACCCAAACCTTGTCTCTCCTATTTCTTACTCACTTTCTGGTGCAGTCCCTCCACCTCGCTCTCCAGCTGTTGCTTCTCTTGCTTGGTTTGGATCTGGGTCTCTCCCAGAATTGATTCCAGCTCCTCATTGCCCTCACGTTCCTGCTCCAGTTTTTGCAGCTTGTGAAGGAGCTGGGAATTCCTGCCCTCAATGTTCTCCATGGCTTCACAGCACCTGCACACCAAAACCCAGCATCACCGAGGCTGGAACTGCATCCCAATTGTTTCCCACCAGCGAGGAAAAGCCGAGGTTTTCCTCACACTCTCCTGCTGATTTCCAGTCTTACACACAGCATGTCCTGTGCCAGTCCTCGTTTCGATGGGAATTAGGGGTGACAGGATCTACACAACGAATTATGAAGTTCGGGGCAGGAAACAGGTAAGGCACGAGGCTGCCAACAGCAGAGAGACAACAGCAAATTCAGCTGCTTGAGGTGGAGAACAGGCTTGGGAATCTGAAGGGAAAAGAGCCAGACGGATGGGATCAGCCCCCCTTTCCTCCCTGAACGTGCCAGAAGAGATGCAGCAGCTCCTGAGCAGATATTGGGAGAACAAAGCTTTGAATTCCCTTCCTTAGAAATCCCTGTTTACATATTTATGTAAATTTAAACATTTATATTTATGGTTGAAAGCTAGGTGTTTTGGTGCACTCCTAGAGAGCAACCAAATCCAAAGAAAACTTCTCAGCACCAAAACAAGTTTAGAAACAGTATTTTTGACTGCAGAGAGCCCCAAAAGCCCAACTCTCTTCTTTTAGGAAAGCAACAAACTGGAGGAAGTGTCAGCATTTAACTGGAAAACGTGATTCCTCAGGACTGCATCTCCTCCAAATTTTCCCATTTGGGAGCAGAAGTCCAAAAGAGTATTTAATCAAAATCAATTGGTGCAAGAGAGAGCACCAGAGGCACAGCACCAGGAACCAGTACAGAGGGTGAAGGATTGCTACACCTCTCACCTTTTGTGGAGAGTTTCAACACCCTGATCTCCATGTTCTTCATATGGGGCAATTCTGCTGGCCCCAGTGTCTCCACCAGCTCCTGCTTCTTCCCGTGTGCCCTGTGCCTGAGAGAAAATCAACATTAGCACAGAACTAGGATTGAGATCTCAGAAGCCGAGGATAGATTGGGCTGGAGAGACCTTAAAGCTCATCCTGTTCCATGGGCAGGGAGGGACACATTGCTCTATCCCAGGTTGCTCCAAGCCCCATCCAACCTGGCCTTGGACACTTCCAGGGATCTAGAGGCAGCCACAGCTTCTTTGAGCAACCTGTGCCAGGGCCTCACCACCTCCAAAGCCAGGAATTCCTTCCCCATATCCCATCTGACCCTGCCCTCTGGCAGTGGGAAGCCATTCCCCCTTGTCCTGGCACTCCAAGCCCTTGTCCCAAGTCCCTCTCCAGCTCTCCTGGAGCCCCTTTGGTTCCGGAAGGGGCTCTGATCTCTCCCTGGAGCCTTCACTTCTCCAGGTGAACACCCTCAGTTTTCCCAGCTTGGCTCCAGAGCAGAGGGGCTCCAGTCCCTGGAGCATCTCCCTCGTCTCCTCACTCAGCTCCAACAGCTCCACATCTTTCGCCTGCAAGCACAGAAGGATTCAAGGCTACCCGCGTGTCTCAGAAATAAAACACATGAGCCATGTCAGCTTCATCTCTTGGCCCTTAGGAGCAAAATCCTCCAAGCCCGGAACACCCAGGTTCTCATGGACAGCTAAGTTCTGGGATGCAGAGGGGACCTTGTTTTTCTGGAAAGAGCCAAAGAAAGAGCCCTTGAAAACACCTGCAGTGAGGCCATTCCGACTCCCTCGGCCCGCGGAGGCTCTGGCCTCTCGCTCCGCTGGTACTCACAGATCTCCTCCTTGAGCTGCTCCACCTGCAACACAAAACACCTGATTTGAGTTTTGGTGAACATTCCATTTTCACATTTATTATTGATTTATTACTGTTCCTTATCCTGAGGGATTGGTTGAGATTCCATGGCTGCTCCAGCTACTAAGTGGCCTCAGACAAGGAGCAGCAAAAGTGGGGAGGCTGCTCCAAACCATTAAAGGGTGATTTTCCTGAACTTACTTCACTTCCTGACCACACCCACATTGTGTCAGATTCCAGCTGCTATTTCTGAGGACACCTTTCAGTGTCTTCCATCCATGGGATCAATGGAATTCAATTATCAGCAGCAGCTCTTCAACCCACAGTCACAGCTCATCCCAGGCCAACTGCCCAGCCTGTTCGTCCCCTACTCTTTGTAACCCACAGGCAAGAAAACACCTTTCAGGACACAGAGCAGCTGTAGTTGGTAATAAGGCACATTTTCTACTACTATAAATGAAAAATTGGAAGGTTCCCAACTTCTGTGCCACAGTTCAACCCCATTCCTAAGGAATAAAGGGAATTTGCTCTTAGCTTAATATCTGTCTGGAACTGATCTCAGTCTGGCTACATTTTTTCCTGTTCAGTGACCACCACATATTACATATATCTGTATGCTTTTTGTCTATATAGACATATATATATAAATAAATTTTAATATTATATTTCTACGTTTTTATAAGCTATACATACATTTGTGTATCCATAATGACTGAAAGGAACAATGTCCTACAGCAAGGAAAACATTATTTGGAATAAAAAATAAGTAAACAGAGGAATTTGAACTAAGTCATGGTTTTTTGCAGCTCCAGAAAGAGACTGTGCTGTAAATACAAGGTTTGAGGTGACAGACATGGAAAAACCAGCAACTTTTCTAAATGCAAGGAACAAAACTATAAAAAATTCTGTACTTATAAAAAATACTGTAAAATACTGAACACCTCAAGTGGGAATCAATCCCATCCAAGATAGTACCTGAAAAATATTATTTGAAAAGTATCTCCTTAGAGATACTTCTTTGAATTTAGCAATACTCATTTGATGTGAGAGAACTGCAAGACAGCCAAGAGCTCTCAGGGCTGGGATGGTAGAGGCAATTCCAGGCTCTCAAAGGCTGATTGAAGGAAATCAGAAGGTAAGAACAGCAGCAGATTTTGTGCCCAATAATACACTTCAATAGGAAGCAGACCCTTCTACCCCTTCCCTGCTGGCAACTTCAGTAAGGAATTACCTGGTCGATAGCTCCTTAATTGTTCCTTAATTCTAGGTGGCATTTAGAGAATCCTGGCTGTATAACAGCAAACATAATAGTAATGTGATAGTAATGTAAGTAATTCTATTAAGAGAATCCACAGAAAATAAGCAAATCAACCAATGGGGCTGAGTTAAAAACCAAAGGGGCTGAGAGGGATCAAAAATGAGCATAAATTTCAAATTGATTTCAAACCAGCTGACGGAGGTTTTAGGCTAAACTTAGGTAAACTCAACTCTTTAATCCAGTCCAGGGAAAGGCACATGTGTTCCTTACACTTGAGTTGGGGTAAACAATGACCAGGAGCAGGGATCCGATCCCTCTCCATGGGCTCAGGAAAATGTGTCCTAAAGTCTTCAAGCCACCACTCAGTTGGAGTCACTCAAATTCTTCCTGCATGGAAGGAAGTTCCCAGAGCTGCATTCTCCCTGTTTCCTGAATTTTACTGCTCCATGAACCATGACACAGCCAAACTGCAGCTCTAGAAAAACTGGGCACAGAACAGGAAGGGGAAGGGGAAGGCAGGGCAGGTTTGGGAGCAGGGATGACAGCCAGCCCAGGATTGTTGGCTTGGCTTGGTGGATCCTCACCAGCTCCAGGAACGCTTTCCTTTCCAAGTCGAGCATCTGGACCCGTGCCCGCAGTGCCAGGATCTCCTTGTCCAGTCGGCTGTTGTGCTCCATGGCCCTCTGCAGCTCAGTCCTGTCTGGAGACAGCAGCACTGGCAAAGTGGCCACTGGCTTGGCCCTGCCAGGCCCACACTCCAAGCACGGATTCCAGGCTGATCCCACACATGGGAAAGGTGGGAGGCAGCATGAACATGTCCCACATTCACTGGAAACACATCTCACATCCACTGGGAATACATCCTGCATCCACATGGGAACACACCCCACATGCACTGGGAGCACATCTCACATCCATTGGAAATACATCCCACATCCACATGGTAACACATCTTCATAAAACACATCCACATGGGACACATCCATGTGGGAACACATCCCACATCCATGCCCTCTCCCTCCCACAGCAAAGGCTGATGTCCCTGGAGATCCAGGTTCAACAGCAGTCTCTCCATCATTATTCCAGGAATTCAGTTTACCTCTGGATCATGGAGGTAGACCTCATTTAAATCACTCACCTCATCTAATATAGGTTTCACTTTGTTTTTGGAAAACCCCAACAGCCACATTTTGAATTTTCACCATAAAATCCATCCCTGCCAAAAGCAGGAACACAATCCCAGACAATGTATCCATGCTGTCCACACATTAAAATTTAATGGAATGGCCACCACTGGAAAAATTGCACACCAATTTTTCAATGGATCAATGAATAAATAAATCCAAACACCAATAAATGCAGATTCCCAATATTTCCAGGGCAGAAATAGGAAAAGTTGTTTGTATTAGGAGCACATGTTGAGGACATGCTGGTATCCCCCTGTCTCGGGAGACAATTTTCCTTAGAGAAAAGATGAGAAATATTTTTCCCTTTTCAGCTTAACAGTGGGCACAGGAAATTTTAGTTTAAATTTGACCTCTGTTCAGGCAAAAATAAAAATCTACTTTTTGGTTCCAATTTGGAAAAAGCAACAAATTCCTTTTGCAAACAAGCATTCTGATATTGGATCTTCAGTTGTGTCATTTAAAATAAAAAACAAAGAGCATCTTCACAGAACCACAGAATGGGTTGGGTTGGAAGGGAACCCCGAAGATCATCTCATTTCAACCCCCATCTTCCACCAAAATGGAAATTTTACTGAAAAGCCTGTTGACCACTACACAAATTGACTATAAAATTATCATACAATGATGATTAAAAGGTTGACGAAAGGATAATAAAATTCCAGCTCTTTTCCTCTTGTAAAAATCCTGATCACCTCCAATTTTCCCAATTATTTCTCCTGTTTTTCCCCCTCAGCTGCCTTCAGGATTGACCACAGGAGTGATTCCACAAGGACAACAGTGTTTGGATGTGGCAGCCCAGTTCTGCTTTGGAAAAACCCCACAACATTCCTTAAGCACTTGGTTAAATACCTTTAAAGCCTTTCCTCACCAAAATCCCACTAACTGGGCTCAAACTGGTCAGGAATTCTTCCCTTCAATGCACACAAGTTATCACTGAACCAAAATATGTCGTTTAAGGGGGTTTTACTAAGGATGAGTGACCCTAGTTTAGGTTTTTAGTAGCAAATCAATTGATTCCCAGAGCAGTTGGCTCAGAGCTCGCTGGGAGGAGAAGCCTTGCAGAGATACAGAACAGGGAAGTCACTGGGATGCCATCACCCTCATTTTGCACACACAGCACAACAAACCCCAGAGACAAAACAAGCATTAAACTCTTACTCACATTTCATAAAGCCTTGTATTCATCTAACACCTCAGAAAGCACAGATTTCCCTGCAGAAGCTGCAATCCACTGGAGTCCCAGGCTGGAGCCTGTCCATGCTCCAGAGAATCAGCACTGGAGCTGCCACATCACTCACCCCACCCCTGGGGACTATGGATCGATCCCCACCCAGTACAGGGATGAAAAGGCTGGGAATGATGGCGCTGGAGGCTGGAGAGGAGCTGCAGGGGCTGGAAAGAAGCTCTCAGGTCCTGGCGCTGTGTGTGACCTCCAAGGGGAGCCTCAAGACCTGCAATGCTGCCCTAAACCTGCCCCAGGTAGAGGCAGTCTCCTGCAGGGAGTTGGTCCCTGCAAAGGCACATGGGACTGTTCTCCAATGACATTCTGCATCACACATTTCGGGACAATGCAAGGAATCCCCCAAAAGAGCATCCAGACACCTGTGTGTCGCTAAGGACATTTTCCATGGACATTTCACTCCAAGAGCACCTTTATCATGTCTCCCTCCAGAAAACTGTTTATTTCTACAGTCAGAATTCATTAAAAAATCCTAATAAATAGCACTTCAGGGCTGGTCAACAGTTATTTCAAGAAGGAAGTGAAGGGAATATTCTCAGCAAGGACAATGTACCCAGTCACTTCCTCAGTGCTGCACTTTCTAAGGATCCTATGGAGGCAACATCCCAAACTGCACCTGGAGAACCCTGGGATAAGAGGCCCAGCTCTGCTAACTAACCCAGTGCACATGGCAATTCAGCTACCCTGCTTCCAGACCAAGTCATCATTCCCTCTCTATCGACTCCCAGGGCAGAAGGCTCTCCCTGGAGAGGAGATAGGAAACTCCCAGGGATAGCAAGGAAATTCATCCAGACTGTGCAGCTGTATCACAGATGAGAGAAGCCCAGTCTCAGAATTAATGGATTTGTGACTGTTAACAACTGCATTCCCACTCCTAGGGAGCAGGCTGACTCCTGGCACTGATTTTTCCACATTCCAAGCAGAGAGGACAGAGGACAGACTGCCTCCCCCACCCAGGGCTAAGAGCAGGCCAGGAGTGGCCACCAGAGCAACACTTACCTGCTCCACTCTGCTCTTTGCTTGGTGTATCCAGCCCCTCTGCCACCCTCTGGATATCTGCTTGGGACTCCACCAGCCTCTGTGGGGCCTCTTCCAGATCTCCCACAACTCCTGCAGGTGTTGCTGGCTCCCCCTCCAGCTCTTCCCTGTGGAACTGAAGCATAAGGGTTAATGTGGCAATGGAAATGAGGAACCCTGTGGTGATGTGACCAAGGCAGAGCTGTTTGCCACCCCCTCTACACTGGTCCCATTGGGAAAATGTGTATTTCCTCATCTCCAATACCAGTTCTGGGACAAACCAAAGGCAGGAGATGCCCACCAGGCAGCCCTGGCCCGAAATGTGAGGTGTTCCCCAGCTCTCAATAGAAGGGATTATTTCCTGCCCAGGCTGGGCACAGACTGAGGATGACACTGTTTGAACTCTGGGTCTTTTACTCTAAACCCAGCAGAAACCCTTCTAACCTGGTTAAGGACAAACCTGAAATGAGGGAGACCAGAAGTGTGATGAGGAGCAGCTAAGGGAGATGGAGGAGGCTCAGCCTGGAGAAAAGGAGGGTCAGGGAGGACCTTCTGGCTCTGCACAACTCCCTGACAGGAGGGTGCAGCCAGCTGGGGGTCAGGCTCTGCTCCCAGGAAACAAGGACAGGAGAAGAGGGAATGGTGTCAAGTTGTGCCAGGGGAGGTTTAGATTGGACATTAGGGAAAATGTCTTCATGGAAAAGGTGGTCAGACATTGGAATGGGCTACCCCTAAAAGTGTTCAAAAAACCCTGTGGATGGGGCACTTGGGGACATGGGTTAGTGGTGGCCCTAGCAGTGCTGGAGGAATGGTGGAACTCAATGACCGTGGAGGGCATTTCCAACCTTGGTGATTCTATAAATTCTCAAATATGAGCCAGCAGGAAAATGAGCATTTCCTTATTTCTGTCTCCCCAGGAAGCTGTGTACATTCTTGCTGATGTAGGAATTCAGCTCCCAATGCCTGACAGGTGTAAGCAGAGCCAGCCTTGCACACAGAGATGTTCCTGAATAACAGCACCACCAGCACAGGGGCCATGTGTCCCTCAGGATCATGAGGGGGATTTTCAGTTCCAACATATCTTGACTAGAAGAGGTTTTGTTACCATGCCTTACGCTTGACAGGAATGTTTCAACCACAGTTATCCCAACCCCTTGTGAAAATCCCTCCGTTTTCCCAGCTCCTCCTGGGAGCTCTGTGGGTTCACTATGTTTTTTTAAGACCTCTGATTTCCTGGGCCTGCCCATAAGAGCTGGAGAGCTCAGTTTCACCCAAAGTTTTGGCACTGTGATTGGCTCACTCTGTCAGAGCAACACTGGGAGACTCGGAATCATGCGATCATAGAAAGGCTTGGAATGGAAGAGACTTTAAAGCCCATCCCATTCCACCCCTGACATGGGCAGGGACACCTTCCACTGTCCCAGGTTGCTCCAAGCTCCATCCAACTTGGCCTTGGACACTGCCAGGGATGGGGCAGCCAGAGCTGCTCTGGGCAGTCTGTGCCCCACCCTCACAGCCAAGAATTCCTCCCCCATTCCCCCCTGTCTAGGCACTCCAGACCCTTTTCCAAAGTCCCTCTCCAGCTCTCCTGAAGCCCCTTCAGGCAATGGAAGGAGCTTTAGGGTCTCTCTAGAGCCTTCTCCAGGTGGACACCTCCAGCTCTCCCAGCCTGGCTCTCAAGGGGCTCCAGCCCTCAGAGCATCTCTGTGGCTTCACTCCAACAGGTCCTTCCTGTGCTGGGGATCCCAGAGCTGGAGCAGCACTGCTGGGGGGGCTTCTTCAGAGAGGAGCAGAGTCATGATGCTGTTTGCCTTTGGGGTGCAAACACACACTCCTGCTCATGTCTAGCTTTTGATCCACAAGAACTCCCAAATCCATCCTGCAGGGCTGCTCTCCAGTAATTCCTCCCCCAGCCTGTGCTCATTCTCAGATTGCCCCGACACAGGCACAGGAACTTGAACTCCAGGAGCTTCCCTGGACCATTGCTCCACATCCCTCTTTTTTATGGAGTTACACATTCCTGCTCCACTGCAGGGGAGTCTTAAGGCCAGCACATTGGTTGCCATTGACATTTGGCACTTGAGAGGGTGAATGAGGTAGCACATGCCATGAATCCAGAAGGCTTTTCCCTATGGCTTTCTCATAAGTGACCACACAGAGAGGCAGGTTTGTATCTCGCCTTTCTGCTTTCCTGGGGATGCAATAAAACAATCAATTCTGCTTGAGCTGTCTGGCTAAAAGCTGAATTCATCCCTGTACCAGACAGGAACGTCTCCAGCCCTTCATTCCAAGAGTGGAACAGGTCAGCTGGGAACAAGCAAGGCCACACATTCCAGTAAACAGAGTAAGATGAGCAATTAACACCTTAACCTTTAACACTAACGGTTCTGCAAAACAAGTGGGATGCTCCTGGGAACAATGGAGTGTTTAATCAACAGTTTCTGCTCCACAGGCACAGAGAGCAATGACATCACTGGGGAGACTAATCAGTCCAGTCAGGGAGATTTTTCCGGGAAAACACATCTCCAATGTGTCCTTCAGCTGATTAAAAACACAGAAAGAGTGCCCAATGTAAGAAATGCGGAGAAGCCGTGGTTGATTGGAAACAAAGAGCATTAGATTAGTAACAATTCCATGGAAGCGTTCAAGGCCAGGTTGGAGCAATCTGGTCTAGTGGAAGGTGTCCCTGGTCACTTCCAATCCAAACTGCTGTGTGATTCCGTTCCTGTCAGCAGGAAGAAACAGAAAGGAACAAGAGAAAGAGCCCTGACCCCTATTTGAGGTCTTGCTCCCTCCTCACTGCCTGAGACCTCAGGGACAAACAGCAGCTCCCGGAATCCCAGGGCATTCCTGGACTCTAGTTCCACGGAGATAAGATCACGAGTCAGGTGGAAACTGGTGGCCTTGGAACCACAGAATCAGAATATCCTAAGCTGGAAGGCACCCACAAGGATCATCCAGACCAACTCCTGGCCCTACACAGACACCCCAGGAATCCCACCCTGTGCCTCGGAGCATTGCCCAAATGCTCCTGGAGTTCTGGCAGCCTTGGGGCCACGACCATTCTCTGGGGAGCCTGGGCAGTGCCCCACCACATTCTGTAGGAAGAACCTTTTCCTGATATCCAACCTAAACCTCCTTGGCACAGCTCCAGCTGCTCCCTCAGATCCTGGCCCTGCTTACAAAGAGCAGAGATTGGAGCTGCCTCTCAGGAGAAGCTGCAGCCCCCAGTGAGCTCTGCCCTCAGCCTCCTCTGCTCCAGCTGAATCCAGAGAAAGTCATTCTTACCCAGTGAAGATCCTTACACCAACCACATCACAAACTCCTCAACACAAGACTACAATTAATCCATTTCACTGTGCAGATGTGGGATCAAATAAAGTGCTAAGTGTGAGAAATAAGAAAGGCACTGACTTAGAATCCTGGAATCCCAGACTGGTTTGGTGCTGGAAAGGATCTTAAAGCTCATCTCATTCTATACCCAACCATAGGCAGGGACACCTTCTACTATCCCAGGTTGCTCCAAGCCCTGTCCAACCTGGCCTTGGACACTTCCAGGGATGGGACAGTCACAGGTTCTCTGGGCACCCCAGGGCTTCACCACCCTCAAAGCCAAGAATTCCTTCCCAATGTCCAGTCTAGACATATTCTGTCAGTTTGAAACCATTCCCCCTTGTCCTGGCATTCCAGACTCTTGTAAATACTCTCACTCCATCTTTCTTGTAGCTCCTTCAAGTATTTTGGCCCCGAGACTCCACAGTGGCCCCAGAGACAGGAGAAACAATTTTCATTACAGAAATATCCTGAAGATATTCCTTTCCTGCAGCTCTCAGGCAGCCAGAGCCATGGAGTAGGAGGTACCTGGAGCCCATCAATTATGCTGTGGGATTCCAGCTGCCGGGCTGCCACTTGCAGCTTTTCCAGCAGCACCGTCCGCTCCACCAGGAAATATGCGACCTGTTCACTGGCAGCACTGCAGGAGATCTGGGATAAACCTTCCTGCTCCAGCATCTCCTCCACCTCCTTCAGCTGGGTTTCTGCAAAGCAAGGTAAGGCTTGGTGTAAGCAGAGGAGAAACAAAGGGCAGGGTTTCCTGGAGATCTGTCACAGCTCCTCTAAACATTCCTCACTGCAACAGCCCCATTTCTCCTGGAGCCCAACATCTCCTCAAGTTCCTCCTGCTTCCCACCTCCCTCATTGCCTCCCATTCCCTGCTATCTACTATTTCAGCCCTATTCCATCTCTCCCAAGGTTTCTCTACACATACTCTTCCCTGCCTGCCAAGCTGGTGATAGGAGCTGCTCCCCCCAGGCAGAGTTCTCCCAACCTGGTTCATCCTCAGCCCCTTCAACCCCAAGTACAGCTTGGTGGAAACGAAACACCAGATTAAACAGACACTGAGAGAAACAGAGAATCATTAAGATTGAAAAGACCTCCAAGATCATGAGTTCCGACCCTCAGAACATCAAGTCCAACCTTGGGGAGAAAGCAAACAGATGGACACAGAGTCACAGATGTTTTCTTTGGCAGGAGACGCACAAAATACCAGATCACTCCTAGAGAGCATCACTATTTTCCCAAGGAATGTCTTGGAAGGAGGCAGATCTGAACACCTTTAAGAATTAAACTGCCAGTGCTTATGTGTATCCAAAAATTATAGCCAGGAAGACTCTGTACTGGGAAAAACTTTCAGACTCAAGGGTCTCTAAGGCAGAAAGGTGAGAACAAGACTTGCAGGAGTCAGTTTATGGCTGGGCACCATTGTATTTCTACAACCAACAGTTGTTAGAAAGACCCCCTGGTTGGTGTGGTTGGAATTTACCTGCCAGGAGAAAAAGAGGAATCTTTGCTGTCTGGCATGATGAGGGCAGCAACTGCTGCATTGGATTCAGCAGCTTGTGGAGACAGGGGAGGACTTTTCAAACCCTTCTTATGTAAGACATATTAAAACCAAAACCAACAGACCAAATTTTCACATTATAAAGGCTTCCAAGTGTTGTAAGATGGGAAGTGCAGGGAGTTATATAGAGGTAGGAGGGATATTCACATTCTTTCCCTGCTCAGGGATCTAGAGTTGGACAGCAGAGGTTCAGCAGAGCAAATATTCCTCAGACACAGGACATACAGAGTCCTGGACAAGGCTGTCCCTCACTCTCATGCACTGATTTAAAACAGGAGCCAGCACAATCACATCCCGAGGCCCCGATCGATCCCATGTTTCCACTCCACGCTTCTCAGCCAGCTCCATCCAGTACTGTGGATGGAAAACACCCTGCGGTTTCCCAGGCATCTTCCTCAGGGAGATAAAGCACAGCCTGGTCAATACAGGGTCAAACAGGGCTCCCCAGGAGCTTCCTGCTGCACCAGAGCAAACAAGGCAGTTTGCAGGATCAAAACTGATCCGTGTGCCTCGGGAAGAACCCACGGATCACACTAAACTGAACTCCAACCTGCCTGGCAGCTTCCTCTCCCAGTTTTGCCAAATCCCAGCTAAAATGAACAGAAACTGCTCTGGTTTATGGCCAGGATGGGACCTCTGTGCCCTGAACCACCTTCACTTGCCAGTGCTCCCCTTGTCCCCAGCCTGCAATGCAGGACAAAGCAGTATCATTTTAGACCCCAGACATATTCCAGAGGCCGAAGAGGAAAAAGGAGGGTCTGCTCACATAGCACAGGTTGCCTATGGGTAAACTCTCCTGATTCCTTACAAACCCCTTCCGTCCCCCATCCAGTGTCTGGGATGGGCCAACCCCTGCCCCAGGCACTGTCACACAACAGCTTCACTGGCATCTCCCACTCTGTCCACGTTTGTTTGGAAGCAAATTTTATATTAATATTTGTATTTTCCTACCCCAGGAATACTCTGAGAAACAGTAGACACCTCACCCCACCACAGCCCTACATCCTCCAGCCCTGCTGGGTGTGTTTAACCAGCCCAGCTGTTACAACAAACAAGCTCAGACCATGACTGTTTTTTTCTTTTTATTCCACTTTCTAAACACATCCAGGCAACTCCCTGAGCGCTGTGTATCACTGCTATTCCAGCTGTTTTTCAGGAAGGCTTTTGGGAACACCATTGATCTGCCCTCCAACAACACCCGGTGCATTCAGCAAGAGCATCAGAAACGGATCAGGAACTGCCTGGAGGGAAGGAAAAACGTCACTCTGGGCAGAGGTATCAGATTAAGTGACACTCAGTTCAATGGCCCAGCATCAACCAGCCTTGGCTGCTCCCTGTAGGAATATGTGAGCCCAGGATGGCAGGAAGCAAATGTGTGAGCAGAGATTCACTTTTTATCTTCAGAAACTGCTCAGTGTCAGTCACCAGCACTAACTATCCTCAGGGTCTAAAGGAAGGCTGGAGAGAGACTTTGGTCAAGGGCCTGGAGTGACAGGACAAGGGGGAATGGCTTCACACTGACAAAAGACAGAGTTAGATGGGACACTGGGAAGAATTTCTTGGCTGTGAGAATGGGGAGGCCCTGGCTCAGGTTGCCCAGAGCAGCTCTGGCTGCCCCATCCCTGGAAGTGTTCAAGACCAGGTTGGACAGGGCTTAGAGCAATCTGGGATAGTGAAAGGTGTCCCTGCCCATGGTAGGGGGTGGAATGGGATGAGCTTTAAGATCCCTTCCAACCCAACCCATTCCATAATTCCATGATTTTAGCTTTTAGCGATCAAGCCTCTCCTGCTTCCCAGTGATCCCACTTCCTAAGTGACCCCAGACCAAGCAGAGTTTCTGATCCATTTGCCTGCTGTTGGAAGAGGGAGTGTGCTCAGACCTGAGAGCCCACACGGGTCTCCAGGCTCCCTTCCCCACCTCTCAACTCAGGTGTATCAGCACAGATCCTGTCCTTCACCCTGCATTATTCACAGCTCAGGCTCTTCCTTTGTATCACCAGCTTGAATCAGCCACTGTCCCCATTCTCCTTTCAGTGCTTCCAAAAGCTACCAACGACCACCCTGTCCTGTTGCCTTGCCCACATTTTTAACAATCCCAGCAGACCATGGTCTGTTTTTCCACAAGCCCCTTCTCCAGCCTAATCCACTGGATCATCCTATGCCTGCTGAGACACCCGGGTATCCTGCAAAACTAACAGGGGGAGCAAGACGTGGAGCACAAATCCTATGCGGAGCAGCTGAGGGGGCTCAGCCTGGAGAAAAGGAGGCTCAGGAGGAACCTTCTGGCTCTGCACAACTCCCTGACAGGAGGGGACAGCCAGTGGGGTTGGGCTCTGCGCCCAAGGAACAGGGACAGGATGAGAGGAAACGGCCCTCAAGATGTGCCAGGGGAGGTTCAGGTTGGATATTCAAGGAAAGGCAAGTCAGGCACTGGCACAGCTGCTCAGAGAAGCAGTAGAGTTCCTGGCGTTGTTCAAGAAATGTGTGGATGTGGTGCATGGGGTGGACCTGACAGTGCTGGGAGAATGGTTGGATTTGATGACCCTAGAGGGCTTTTCCAACCTAAACATTCCCATGATCCCAAAAACTCTGATGAAAAGCAGAGGCCTGGGGAATAGACACAGGGATGCAGCATAGAACCCTGCAGCAGGGACACGTTAGACACCTGGAACAGCCCAACAGAGGCCTTTTGGATTTTGCAGCATCTCCAGCACAAGCACATCCAGCCACTCCATACTGGAGATGGCCAGGGGGATTATTTTATAGAGAGGCTGACCTAGAACTATGGAATCACAGCATATCCTGAGCTGAAAGGGACCCAGAACGATCATCCAGTCCAACCCCTGACCTCGCCCAGGACACCCCAACAATCCCACCTTGGGCATCCCTGGGAGCAGTGTCCAAATGCTCCTGGAGCTCGGGCAGCCTTAGGGCCAGGACCATTCCCTGGGAAGCCTGGGCAGTGCCCCATCACCCTCTGGGGGACAGCTTTTTCCTGACATCCAACCTGACCCTCCCTGGCACATCTCCAGCTGTTCCCTCATGTCCTTTCCCTTGTCCCAGAGAGCAGAGATAAAATCCTCCTCCAGAAGAGCTGCAGCCTGGGACGAGCTCTCCCCTCAGCTTCCTCTGTCCCAGCTGAACAAACCTGGATAAAAGGACCAGTCACTCAATAAAGTGCTCTACAAAGACCCAAAACATCTTGGTGCTGGCACCTCTCCCTGCAGGTTACAGGCCAGAGGGAGCAGGGGTTCCAGATTCTTAAATTATCCATGCACATCCCAGGATAGTAGCCAATGCCAGCAGTGAGTCAACAAGTCCTGAACCTCAAAATCTGAGTGATATCCCAAAAAAATATCCCTCCAGACACACTTTATAGTACCAAAGCCACACAACTCCCTCAGGGACAACACACTGGGAACAATTGGATGGCAACCAGCAAGTCCTCCTGGATACACTGAGATCCACGGACAACGATCTCAGCTTCTATTCCAGGGGTACTCATTGCTCAACAGCCTCAGGAATCCCTAAGAAATGGAGAAAAATCCAGAGGAGCAGAGCCACCAGGAAGAAATTACTGCATTCCAGCTTTGGACAGTCTGTCTTTCTCCTGCCACCTTGTGGAAAGGGAGAGAACTAGGAACAGAATCTTCTGACACAGCGAGATTCACAAGAGCTCATTATTAATTTTAACCTTTGTAAGCAGCCTTTCCACCACAAACCACAGCTTTAAGTGCCCAGAGACATCAAATTTTTGGGTAAATCCATCTTTGGAAAGTCACACCACCAGATGTGCTCCTGAAAACCCAACTGATGCTCAAAATTTCCCCCAAACTCCTGTATTTGCTGTCCCAAAGCCTAAATCACAAAGAAACTCTTTGTGCCATCACCTTCAATTTTACCTTCGGACCAGGACAATACAGCTCACAAAAGGAGTTAATGGTGATGTGGGCTATGAGCACCACTGAAAGTGCAACAAAAAACTGAAGAAAATCAAGAATTAAACCTAGCAAAAGTGACCCTAGAGTTTGAAAATAAATTATTTCAAGTTAAATAAGTGAAATAATTTGTTTAAACAAAATTAATGAAGCTCTGAGGGACCCTGAGCAACTTAGTCTACTGGAAGGTGTCCCTGCCCATGGTTGGGGGTGGAATTGGATGAGCTTTAAGGTCTCCTCCAACCAAAACCATCCTGGAATTCCATGACAATGAGCACACCCAAGCTTTGAATCCCAGAACAAGCAATTCCTGTCTGTCACACTGTTTTAAAAAATGTGGAGTTTGTATAAACCAAAGCTAAGAGCAAATTCACTGACTTGGTGGGAGTGACAGATAATTTAGAGCTTGAAACCAAAGAGCACCATCAATTCTGGTCTTCAAGCAGCCTCTGGAAGATGCTTCGTGCAACAACAGAGCTACATGGAGAACCCACCAAATTCCCTGAATAAAGACAGTAAAAGCAGCCAAGGACCACTAAATCAAGTACAAATCTGTTCGAACAGCTCACTAACATTTTTAGCAACTTCTCAAACAACAAACCACTGAGAACTCCTCAAAAACGCTGCTCAGCTCTCCAAGAAGCTTTCCAGACCCAAACACCTGCCAATGCATTCCCAGGGCCCACACTCTGGAGGGAAGGGATTACCCTGCTGCAGGTGTAGCTGTTCCAGCTCCAACCTGAGCTGCTCATTTTCCTTCTCATATTCAGAGGCAATGGCATCCCGCTCTTCCATCAGGGTACGGACATGGCCCATGTAGCTTTCCACCTGGAATAAAGAAAATCCAGCTATTCCCATGTCTGCTGGCGCCTCCAGTGAGGCAGCAGCACAAAAAGTTCTCCACCCCATCATGTTTACAGGATAACTTCAAATGTTTGCAGGACAATATGTCTCATGCCTTTGGAACACCTGGGAATGGTAAAACCTTGACTGGGAGGTCAGGAGGTCATGCAGCTATGGGGGTGCAGGGATGTGGGGAGCTGCTGGGCTCAACAGGTGCTTCTTGATGCCCAGTATGAGGAATGGGGACATAAACCCCAAGTTCCTGAGGGCAGCAGTGTGTGGCAATGACACACCTGAACCTGTTGCTTCACACAGGGGGAATCAAAGGAAACAGGCTTGGGAGGGTTAACTCTGGTTATATCCCAGAACCACTGAGGTTGGAAAAGGGTCCCAAGTTCCCAATCTGTGACAAAACTCTGTCTTGTCACCAGACCAGAGCACTGAGTGCCACATCCAACAGTTCTTTGAAAACCTCCAGGGATGGGGACCTCCTCACTGCCCTGGGCAGCCCCTACCAATGCGTGACCACTTTTTCAGAGAAGAAATGTCTCTTCATGTCCAACCTGAGCCTCCCCTGGCCCAGCCTGAGGCCATTCCCTCTCCTCCTGTCCCTGTTCCCTGGGAGCAGAGCCCAACTCCCCAGCTGTCCCCTCCTGTCAGGGACTTGTGCAGAGCCACAAGGACCCACCTGAGCCTCCTTTTCTCCAGGCTGAGCCCCCTTTCTCAGCTCCATCAGCTGCTCCTGGTGCTCAAGCCCTTCCTTCCCCAGCTCCGTTTCCTTCCCAGGAGAAGCCCCAGCCAGGCCCGCTCCCCGGCCTTACGTCTCTCATGTCCTGGGCCCGCCGCCGCTCCAGCTCGCCCAGCCGAGTCTCCGCTCGCAACAGAAGCCGCCAGGCCAGACCCAGCTGCTCCTCGGCCGGGGCGTTGGGGTCGGCGCCCTCCGCCCGCAGCCAGCGCTGGATGGTGTCCGCCGGCACCGGGGACTCTGCCTGCGGGGCAGCGACAGGAGCCGTGAGAGACGGGGGGGTCGCGGGTACCCCGAGCCCCCCGGGCCGATCCTGGGGGTACAACCGACCCCCCGAAATACCCCCGGGCCGGCCAGCGCCGGGGATACAACCAATACCCCGAAGCCCCCTGGGCTGGTCCTGGGGGTACAACCGGCCCCCCGGGCGGGTCCCGGACACCCACCGGGGCGCCAGCGACAGCGTCCATACGGCGGGATAGACCCTGGCGCCATGGCAACAGGCCACGCCTCCATCAGCACTATGAGGCCACGCCCCATTCACCCACGTGTGCTAGGGAGGCCGCGCCTCCGTCACGCCCCCTCCTTCCTCCGTGACGCCCCCTGGCGGCCGACTGCGGGCAGAGCTGTGACTATTCCTAATCCCTGTTCCTATTACTATTCCAACCCCTGGGTCACCAAAAGGGGCCAGAAGTTTTCCCGATTTTCTTCTAAACCCCACGTGAATATGCTGGAGCTAAAGGGGAAGAGGGCAAGTACATGGAGCCAAGCCTAGAGAAGAGAACGCTTTAGGGAGACCTTAGAGACCATGCCAGTTCCTACAAGGGTCCCCAAGAGAGCTGGAGATGGACATTGGACAAGAACATGGAGTGAAAGGACAAGGGGGAATGGCTTCCCACTGCCAGAGGGCAGGGCTAGATGGGATATTGGGAAAAAATTCTTCCCTATGAGGGGGGAGGCCCTTGCACGAGTTGCCCAGAGAAGCTGTGGCTACCCCACCCCTGAAGTGTTCCAGGATAGGCTGGACAGGGCTTGCAGCAACTGCGGCTAGTGGAAGGTGGAATGAGACGAGCTTTAAAGCCCCTTGAAACCCTAAGATGACTCCATGAGATTGAGGAACTGAAGTGCTAAGTAGGTCCATACTGCAGAACCAATTCACTGGCTGAAGACACTGCGCAAGGGGATGATAGAAAAAAGGGAAGACCAGGACATGGAGAAGAGGGACATGGCAGAGTCCAGTGAGGACCTTCCACTGAGCTCTCTGGGATCCTCAGAAAGCAATAGACAGATCCTGGACTTGTAGGAGCCACTTCCAACTTGGGCAACAACCACCATTCCCGGAGTGCTGGTGCCCAAACACTGCTAGGGTGGGAGCACTCATGGGCTTGGTTTAACCTTCTACATGGCACAGGTGCATCCCTGACACGGGATCCAGATGGCTGTGGCCCAGTCTGAGCTTAGTTTAAGCTTTGAGCTTACGGCACTTCACAAACAGGGGAAGACACAATGCTGGAAGCCCACAGTGTGATCCCAAACCCGATGAAACCCCCAGATTCCCTGGGCCCACTGCCCCAGTCTGCTCCTCAAAAAAGCTCAGATTATTCCTCTCCTTCCCAACCACCTCTGAGAAATTCCAGGACACTCTGAAGTCAGCATTGGTGGCATTTCTCCCGCTCCGTGTCCCAACACTCCTGCAAGGGCATGTTCAACTTCCACAAGTTTTTCTATTCTCATCCCTGCTGGCCTATCCACACTGTCTACAGAGGTTTCAAACTAACACAAGGGAAATCCCAGACTCAATTACATACTGGGAGATGAAGACAGGCAATTCTTGGAGCTTATTCACCTTCTTTATCAGTTCTGGCCACAGAGAAGTTGTGAGTTCCATCTCCTGACTCAGTTACCAGCTGGCACACTCCCCACCTGACCAACCTGGACTTCTCCCATCACTGATGGGATCCACGGATCCCATCCTCGTGCTCTTTTCTTGCTCTTCTAGCTTTATTTTCCTTGTTTGCTGAGCACCCCTCACTTTCGGAGGATTGGTGTTATTACATAATCAGTGCTGCCTCCTGAGCACTCCGTGGTTTTACCCAGAGCAGAGTCCTGCCTCTGGAAATGTTTCCAGCATTCCCATGTGCTGTTGTCCTTCTTTTCAGGATCCCAGTGAATTTATTTTGAGGACAGCCCATGAACAGACACCGTGGACAGCAGGAGAGCCGCTGTTAAGTTTCTTGCAGACATGAAGAACACACATTTTGAAGTTGGTAACCGTTGGAAGAGGGTTTAGATAAAACCAGGAACATTGCAATTCTAAATCCACACAGCCAAGGGGAAGCTTACCCTTCCAGGGTCAATCTACCACCCCTTCTGCTGTCAGAGAATCATGGAATCACTAAGCCTGGAAAAGCCCTCCAAGATCCCCCACTCCCCCAGCACTGCCATGTTTACCCTAAGCCCTACTCCCAAGTACCACATCCGCATCTTTTTTTGAACACTTCAAGGGATGGTGACTCCACCACTGCCCTGGGCAGCCTGCGTCAATACTTGAACACCTTTCCATGACAATTTTCCCAATATCCTACCTTGAACCTTCCCTTGCACAGCATGAGGCCGTTTCCTCATCCTGTTCTTTGTTCCCTGAGAGCAGAGCACAACCCCTCCTGGCTGTCCCCTTCTGTCAGAGAGTTGTGCAGAGCCAGAAGGTCCCACTGAGCCTCCTTTTCTTCAGGCTGAGCCCCTTTCCCAGCTCCCTCAGCCGCTCCTGGCGCCCCAGACCCCTCCCCAGCTCCGTTCCCTTTCCAGGACACCACCCTCCTCAGTGCCCACTTCCCTTCTTCAACCTTGGCCTCAAGCTTGGATGCATCCTTTGTGGTCTGTGCCAAACGTGCCCTTGCCTCTGTTTACAGAGCTCTGCAGTGACACTTGAGTCTTGTTTGGTGAGAGCTGCCCAAACACTGCCTCGGAAAACTTCCTGGTGTAAACAAAATATGAAGCAAAGCAACCTTCAAATACCTGGGATGGAAGGAAAACCTTTGAAACAGATGCTTTAGGGACGCTGTTGCTCTCTCCTGGCACAAGAGCTGCTCCCCCAAAGTTGCCGTCACCTCATTCTCCTTTTTGCAACTCTGGTTCCACTCAATATCCACTCTCAACACCAGATGATTCCCCACTCCAGTCATAAAATCAGCACATCTTTCCTGTGAAGCCCCATTCCTTCCTCCAGCCATTCTAAAAGAAACTTCAAAGAGGGAGATTCAAGAAATTCTTTATATACAGAGACCTTAATAATTTCTCATCCTCCCAGCCCACAGAACAGAAACAAGCTCCTTTCTTTCTTTAGACACCAGGACAAATATCCTTTAGAATGGTTTCATTTCCATGTATTTCTCTTTTACAAAGCTGCAATAGCCGTGGCCAAACTGTATAAAAGTGACAGTGTTGGACAGCCCTCCTTAGTGCTCCGTGGAGATTGCTTTATTTCCCTGGACACGCAATCACTCCGGTCCCACTCCCTCTGCAGCACAATTCTCTCGTTTCCTCCGAGCTGCTCCTCAGCCTTTTCTCTCTATAAAGGCCGTGTGCTGGCCCTGCAGGTAACTCACAATCTTCTCCTCTATTTCCATGCCTTGTGCTACTTCCTCGTTGGACAGGGATAAGGGAGTCTGTGAGTCTCTGGTGACAATGATGACAGAGGTTCTCCGGGATTCCAGGACATTGGCTACCACCACCTGGTGCCGGTATTTCTCCAGAGCCTGCCGAGATTTATCCAGAAGGATCTGGGGATCTGTCTCCAGTTTGAAAGAAATTACAAATGCCTCAGGGGCCCAGTCTCTGACCAGGGGTGACAGCATCTTTGGCACCATCTTCATTGTGATCTGCAGTGGGGAAAGATAAAAAGAAAAAAATCAGTAAAAACATTACAGGGAGTTTTAATAAGAGATGGGATGGGAAAGAGGGAAATTCCAGTTTTGTTTTATATTCCATTATACCAGGAAGTTTTTCAAGGCAGTGTTTGGGCAGGTCTCACCAAACAAGGTTCAAGTGACACTAAATTTAAATTAAATGATCCATGTGGTGCTCACAGTCAGGATGTTCTGAGGCTGGGCATTCCCAGAGCTAACCACACTGCATAATTATAAACATGAGGAGAGAAGATTTAAGAAAGCATTACAACTGCCTAAATCTGAGTTTTCAGCTCTCCAGAGTCCAGGTAGTTTATCCCATCTTCACCTTTCCTTCTATCAACTCTTTAACATGCATGAGGCACAAAAGTGCTAAAGCATGGAGAAAAACAGTAGGACATTGTTCTCCAGCTTCCCAACCTCTGGACCTATCACTGGGAATCAGGCCAGGTCTTATCTTTCCAATGCTAACAATAAAGAATGAAGCCCGGCAACTTCTTAAAAATTAATTAATTAAATAAATTTGGTATTTTTTTATATAAAAAATTCCAGAGCCACCTGTTCCCATTGCTGAGAGGGACCTCGGTGCTGCAGTATTAGTCATTCATACAAGCAAGATGGATCCCAGAGTCATAGAATGGTGTGGGGTTGGAAGGGACCCTAAATCCCATCTCATTCCAGCCCCTGCCATGGGCAGGGACACCTTCCTCTATCCCAGGTTGTGCCAAGCCCTGTCCAACCCGGCCTTGGACACTTCCAGGGATCCCGGGGCAGCCACAGCTTCTCTGGGCAATCTGAGCCAGGGCCTCAGCACCTTCACAGGGAAGAATTTCTTCCCAATATCCGATCTAAACCTATTCTGTCAGTTTGCAATCATTCCCTCTCGTCCTAGCACTCCAGGCCCTTCTCCAAAGCCTCTCTCCAGACAAAAGGCAGCAACTCAAGTACTCCAGAAGCTATTCTCAGAGCACTTCAGCTCTCTGAGACTCACCCTTTCCTCATTTCCATGGAAGCACAGGCAGCTTTAAAGGACAAAGCCAGAAGAGCAGTAGGCACCTCAGGGGCCCCTCTTCATGTGCCACACCACAACTGCAGACATGTTGAAGCTGCTCCATATCAGACAGAGCAGCACTGACCTCCCTGCAGATAAGCAATGGCACCACTCACCCTTCAGCCCACTCTAAAAATAAACCTAGATCAAAGGAGAGCAGGGCTGATCCTGCCCTACCCTCTTGTCTGGGCCCCTCAGTGCCAGGTAAGAATAAAACAATGCAACTTCAGGATTTCCACAGGGTTCTGTCCCAGTGGGATCTCACCCTCCCATTCCCTCTGACAACACACACAAGCTGCTGTTTTGCAGCTTTTCCAGGTTTTATCCACAGCCAGTTCTTAGGAGAAGGACCCTGGAAGCAAGGAGGAGATGTCTGAGGGGGATGGCAGACGGGGCCACGCCCAGATGCCCAAGCGGCGCCTCACCTGCAGGGGCCCCTCCGAGGACTGGATCTTATGCTCCGGCATCTCGGAGACTGGGATGTAGAAATCCGACACGGCGGCTGACAGGTAGAACATGACACTGGAGCCTGTGGGAACACGACTGCTATCCCCCACTGCCATGGCCTGTCACCCCAGAGCCACATGAGCTGCCACCCACACACACACACCCCACAGGGGAGACCAGGGCTCCCCTTAGGGATGCCCCAGCACAATGCTGAGCAGGGCAGCACCGACCCCACCCCGGGGTCCCCTAGATACACTGTTCTCCACTGGCGTCTGTCTTGTCCCCTCCTCCCAAGCCCAAACAGCCTCCAGGGACAGTCCAGACCCTCATGCAGGGGTGTAAGAGCCCTCCAAGTAAGGAGGCCCTCTTGTCCTCTCATGCCAGAGCCCCACAGGCCTCAGGATCACCTCACATCTGGGCCCTGGGGCCATCGTGAGGAGGTTCTACCCCATGCCGGGAACCCCTGGACCTTTCTCCCACAACTATTACATCCCCTCGTTCTAGGTCCGCCTGTCCTCTCACACTGGAGATCCCCATGAGAGCCTCAGCCTTTCACATCCTGAAGCTTCGCACAGGACCACCCTGTTCCCTCATTCCTGGACTCCCTTAAACTGGAGACCCCCATGGGGGCTTCATCCTCTCTTGCCTTGTTCCCTACGAACCGATGGCCACTCCGTCCCCCATTCCTGGGTCCCCACGGTTCCCCCTGTCCCCTCACGCCCGGGTTCCCCTCGTACCGAGGGGCGCCAGGGCTCGGGCGGCCGCACGCAGCAGCGCCAGGTACTCAGCGAGGCCGGTGAACTCGATGGCGAGCAGCGCGCCCGCCTCGGTGGCGCGTTGGTACTCGCGGAGCGCGGGCAGCAACGCAGGCAGCGCGGCGGGGGCGGCGGCCACGCCGGGCGGCGGCCCCGGGGTGAGGCGGAGCGCATCGAGCAGCGCGGGCCCGTGCGGCGGCAGGGCGCGGGCCCAGGGGAAGACGGAACGGGCGCGGTGCAGGAAGCACACGCCGTACCCCGCCCGCACGAGCTGCTCGGCCGAGGCGGCCCCGCGCCGACCGCTACTGAAGTTTTCCAGGAAGCGCACGGCGCGAGCCTCCAGGGGCACCTGCGTCCCGCCCGACGTCACCAGGGCCACGCGCCGCCCGCGTGCCGCCTGCGCCGCCGCCCAAGCCCGCACCCGCTCCTCGGTCGCCACCACATCCACGTCGTTGTCCTTGTCCACGTCCTTCTCCTCCTTGGCCGCCGCCGCCGCCATGACCAGCCCGCACGGCCCGCCGGAAATCACATGTGTCACTTTCCCCGTCCAGGAAGTGTTGTCTCGGCAACGGAACGCCAGCACCGTCGTTAGTGTTTGTCGGAAGTGACGATTCTCGTCTTGCCGGAAGTGTCACCCCGGCAACCGGGGACGCGTCGAAGGTTTAAGGCTGGCCATGGCGGGGCCGCCGCGTTGCGAACTGTGTGGGGCCCGAACGGCCCCGCTGCGCTGCCCCGGCTGCCGTCTCACCTACTACTGGTGAGAGACCCCGGGGCAGGGTGAGGCCTGGGGCACAGGGCAGGGCAGGAGTCAGGGATTAGCTCCCGATGAGACACAGGCAGGCAGCCTGGGATAAGGCTTGCCTTCTTAGGTATTCAGGATGAGGCCCAGGAAAGAGGCAGGAACAGACTTGAGAGATAGGACGAGAGACAGGGCTTATCCCACAAAAAGGCTCAGGACACGAGGCCTAGGATGAGGCACAGAGCATGGGAAGAACGCCCAGAGTGAGGCCCGGGAAGCAGGAACCAGCCAGGATGAGGCTTACGACACGTGGAGAAGGCCCAGGATGAAACGTAGGAGGCAGGAACAATGCCAGAACAAGGACAGAGAGACAGGGACATAGCCTGGGGCGTGGTCTGGGACACAGGCAAGAGGCAAGTATTATCCCTGGAATGAGGCTCACTCACAGGGACAAGCCTCACAAAGCCCAGGACACAGGGATGAGAACTTGGACAAAGCTCAGCAGGCAGGGATGGGCTCAGGAGGCAGGGACCAGACCCAGCATGGAGCCTGGGACCTTGGAGAGGGCCCAGGCTGGAACTCAGCCAGCAGGGCAGCAGGAACTGGAGCAGGCACACTCACCTGGAATGTTCCTGCTGCCTTCCAGCAGCTCCTGCATCAGGCAGGGAGCAGAGCTGGGAGCTCTGGAGTGTCCCACGAACATCCTTCACATACCCTGAGAGCAGTTACTGAGTTCCAGAGTGTTCTCTGTTCCCACAGTGACCTGGGGTGGGTTGGTTTGTGGTTTTTGTTTTTCCAGTGTTGGAATTCAGGGATTTGTTAAAACATAGCTGTATCAGGAGTTCAGGGAGTGATTTAAATAAGGATTTTAACACAGAGAACTGTGGGGAATGTGGCAGGACAGTTCTGTGAAATGGAAACATTTGGAAATATCATATATTGGGCGCCCTGTAGGCAGCCCGGGGGCTCTGGGAATTGTTGTGGAGAAAGTCCTGAAAGACAGCAGAGAATAATCTTCCCTTACATAATATCCCAGAAAATACTAGTATCCTTTTCCCCTCCTTTTGCCAGTGATGTCTCTCACCAGAGAACTGACTGGATCAGCATCCACGGCCATATCTGCCACCTGCTCATCCCAGTCCTTGGGCCCCAGCCCTGTTTCCACTCTGAAAAAGACAGAAAACATGGCAAGGAGCAGCTGCTGAGGAGGCAGGTGGGTGCCGGAGGATAAAGCACAACTTCAAAGTGCTTCCAGGGAAGGAATTCCAGCTCCTCTCCATACCCTGGCTATACATGGTGGGACACACCAGGGGCAGACTAGGTTCACCTGGAATTTTGTGCCACACAGGAGTCTCCAAAGCAGCCTGGGCTGTCACTGCCCAATTCCTATGAAACTGAAAGGAGTTTCTTGCCTAAAACCAAGCAGGGCTTTTGCCTTCACAGGATCCAGCCTTTTAGAATTCCTCCCTCTGGATGCTCCCAAGGAAGAGTATGGCACCTCCTTGGTTGATTTGGGACTTGGTTGTAGAGGTTTGCAAGTTGTTTTTTTAAACAGAAGTAAGGGAAGTGGGAGCACCCTCTCTGTCATTCCTGACCCTCCAGCACTTTCCACAGTGTTTACTTGGTGTTCTGAGCTTCCTCAGGCAGCAGCAATCCTGGGTTTCCCACCTAGCCAGGGGGTTGGTCCATTGTCCTGGTTAGTCCAGGATCCAGCTGAGATTTGCTTCTTCCAGGCCATTTGATGGGAGGGTATCCCCTTTCCCAGAGCAAAGGGGCAAAGAAACCAAGTCCCCTCCATTGTTTTCCTGGCCAACTTGGAACACCCTTTCCCACTAAGTGAAGCCTTTTATCTCCATCAGGCCTCAGGGATGTGCAGATGTGCAGCTCATTTCCAGCCTCAGTGGTCTGAAACTCTTTCTTTTTCTGTTTATGGAGTGGCAGGAGCTGCTGTTCTACATTGTTGGTAAAATAACCCACCCAGGTGCATCTGCTCCTGAAAATCCTCCCTATGGAAATATGGAAAAAAGTTTTCCCTCTATAATAACTCTCAGATACAGAATAACGGGGCAGCACACAGTGGGCTTGGAACGATGCAATGGTGCCACTGAAAAGAACATCCCTAATCTTTTGAATTTTACATGAATTATTATTGTTAAGGTGTTTCTGGCCCAACTGTGGGGCTTTGGGGACCAGCTCACTGCTGTCACCTTTCTTGGGAGCTTCCAGAAAGATGAAGTCCAAAGGCAAAAGTCCTGCTTGGTGAGAGCTCGTGACAGGCTTTAGGCAGCAGATTCCTTTTGGTTTTACAGGACTTGGGCAATGACATCACAGACTGATTTGGAAACTCCTGTCTGGCTGAAAATCCCAGGTGAGACTGTTGAGCAAAGTCCACAGAAGGTGTGTCAGGCCAGTGTGTCCCAAAGGGAAAATGCAAAACTTCCTTAGTTCCAGGTTCTGTTTAAATTGTTCTTTATAAAATCTGCGAGGAAAGTTAAAATAGGTGTCATGGGGGTGTGGCAGGATTTTGCATCCAGAAGTGCTTGAAGCTGTTCCAAGAAACTCCCCTGCTATTGAACACTGATGTTGACACTGATTACATCACTGACTTTATTGCAACTAAAATTATCCCCATACATTCCAACAGGCCACGTGGCTGCCAGCTGAGGGAAGTGCTCCTTCATTAGCTGGAAGTTAATCTGCTGGTTTAATTAGGTGAAGGGAAAGACAGCAGGAAGATAGGGCTGGTGGAGAGAAAGTCACTCTTGATTGGGGTTCACACTGGGTTAGCAAACAGCAGCCTGGAGCTGGAGCTTGGGCTGAGAATGGCTCCATGGGCAAGGCAGGGAGAGAAGACAGGGTTTTTTTTGAAGTGGAGATTTTTAAAAGCTCTTTAACAACCTTCACATCATCTATTCTTTGACCTTTGTCTCCAGCTTATTTAAATAAAATAGATTTTGAGAACAGTCAGTGCTGGGACACTTTGCTTTCCTTCTCTCCATAGAAAGGAGTGAGACCGTGGAAATACCTCAGTTACCTGCTGGCTTTCCCAGTAAGAGGGAAGGTTCCTTTGTCTCCAGCAGGATTTGGAGCAGCCAGGTTGGGCCTGGGCTGGCTCAGACGTGTTGGGAGAGGGCGAGATTATTTAATGCCTTGTCTCACTAGTTGCATCTCATTCCTATTCCAGATCCAACAAAAGTGCTTAAAAAGTTCTTCTCTCAGGGTGGGGAGGCCCTGGCACAGGTTGTCCAGAGAAGCTGTGGCTGCCCCATCCCTGAAGGTGTCCAAGGCCAGGTAGGACAGGGCTTGGAGCAACCTGGGATAGTGGAATGTGTCCCTGCCTATGGCAGGGGGTGGAATGAGATGAGCCTTAGGGTTCCTTTAACCCAAAACAGTCTGGGATTCTATGCAAAAAAGGCCTTTGGAGTTGAGGGAAAAGCTCTGCGGCCTCATGGTAGCCAGAGAAAAAGCCTTCTGCCCAAAGCCTACCTTGGGTTTGCTGCTTTTTGAACATTTCTGATGTACTTCACCCACTCCTGCCCTGTGTTTGTTTAGAAAACACAGAGCTCCAATCTGTCAGGACACAGGGAAACCTGGGCACATCCAAATGCCCTGTGGCTCAAGGAGCAGGGAGCTGCGAGCCAGGAGGTTTTATGAGTTTCATTCCTTGTCTGTGCTCCAAAGCTTTGTTGATAGAAATCTGCTTCTGTCAACATAGCCAGGGGGTGCCTGCAGACAGCACCTCCAAACTGACAGAACTCCAAGTTTCTGTTTGGAGGAGAGCCTCACCTGCCTGTGTGATGTCAGCTCCCCACAGCTCCTGGGCATCGGAAAAGATCCAGCCCAGCCAGCCCCAGCACTGCTATGGCTGCAGATTCAGCTCCAGCTCACTGGAGCCTTTCTTCTTCCTGAAATACTCATTTCTTCAGACACATCATCGATTTTGGTGCCTGAGAGTGAATAATGGATGTGCACTGGGCCCTGAGTGTGCTCCCAACCCCCTGCTCCCACCTGAAGCAGAGCAAGGGTCCTCAGCCCCCTCAAACCCCAAAAACTGTGTGGGGGCATCTTCAGAGAAACCTCAAATTGCAACACACATGGAAAGAGCCCAAAGTGACAGGGCCAGGGGCGAGGGGGAAACCAGGGCAGGGCCAAAGGGAACAATTCCCCCAGGGCTCTTCAGGGCCAAAGGGAGCCATCCTCCAAGGCTTGGAACTGTGGTTGGAAATATTCACTGCTCCAGGGCTCCTCTTGCCTTCTGCCCTTCCTTCTCCTGGAAGCTGTGCCAGAGTCCAACCCACAGCTTTGTCCTTGCTGCAGATGTTTCAGACCATAGGAAGAAGCGATGATATCATTGACAAGGAGTAAAAAAAGAATGATCCCCATCTCCAGCACCTCCCAGATGCCAATCTGGGTGATGCCTACGCACCAGGGCCTGCAATGCTTGCACCAGACTGGCACAGACAGAAAAAGCAGCCTGAGACATACCAGCTTTTCCTGCTGCTGCCCCAAACATATACTGGTTTTCTCCTGGGCACCACCTGCTCCCTGGACACAGTTTGTGTTTCACAGAATCCGAAACTGGTTTGGGGTAAAAGAGATCTTAAAGTCCGTGGCATACCACCCCTTGCCAAGGGCAGGGAGCTCTTCCACTATCCCAGGTTGCTCCAAGCTCCATCCAAACTGGCCTTGGGCACTTCCAGGGATGCCACAGCTTCTCTGGAAAACCTGCCTTTCCCCTCTCCATATTCTGGTAGCTCAGGAATGGGTGCTGTGTTTTCTGGCTCTTGGTTCTCCTCACTGGAGCAGGGGCTGTTGCTCTGGGCTGTGTTCTTTGATGATCTCATTTATCCAAAGAAGTGTCTCTTTGCCTCAGCCAGGATCTCTAGGAAACACTCACAGGCTGGCCTGGAGCTCTCTGTCCCTGAGTTCCTTCTTCACCCATGGCACAACTCTGCCTCACTCCAAGCAGTTCAAGTTCAGCAAAATGCCAAAGCCTGGCCTCCAGGATCTCTAAGATTGGTGTCTCTGCCCAGCTCAGCCCCAGCTGGAGGCAGAGGGTGATAAAGGGGTGAACTGGTGTTTTCTCACCAGGGTAGCACTGCTGCACTCTCCAGCAGCACCACTGATTCCCAGACACCTTTCCTGCTGCACCACTGCTAGGAAAAGTTGATGAAGAAGTGTTAGTAGCTGCCTGGTCTCGTGGAATATGTCCTTTCCCATGACAGGGGATGGAAAAGATGCGCTTTAAGGCCCCTCCCAACCCAAACCTTTCTGGGCAGGGATTTCTGGGATTCTGTCACTCTGCAAGGACCCTGGCACTTTTTCCTTGGCATCCGTGTAAGGGCACAGTATGCACAGCTCATGGCAGGGAGCAGGCATTGGGATGGAGATCTGTTTGTGGAGCTAGAGATTACATCAGCTGCTGCTAATGATGGAGAGGCCAAATGGTGTGGACTGGTAGGAACAGCAAAAGGCAGGGAGCAGCTATACATGGGTAAGTACAGGATAAGTTATGGATTCTGACAAACCCAAACACTGCAGAAGCTGCTGCACCACCAACCCCAGCTGGGGATGGATTTGCTGAGTGTAACACATTCTGATTTTGACCAGTTTTCGGACTCTGCACACAAAATCCCAGCCCAGGACCAGCCAGGAGAGGGTGGGATAAAACTGCAGTTCCCTGTGAGGAGCTGTCTCCTCACTCCCTGGCCATGTCTCCAGCAGTTGGAGCTGTGCCGTGCTGGCACCACAGGGCTTGGCTGGCTCTGAGTCACGCCGGAGCCCCTGGCTCTAATCTCCTTTCTGGTCTTGTGATGATCATTTTCTGTGCTTCACAGCTTTTATTGCTGCAGCCTTATGAGACCTTGTCAGGAGGTGTAAAGGATTCTTTGTCCAGGAAGACACTGCATGACCTGCAAGGATGTCCAAAGCTGTCGCTGCTCGAAGCAGGAATGGAGTCAGACTCTAATACACTCTAATATGACAGTTTTAATGTCTGTCTATTAATTACAGCCACAAACTACATTACAATTGCTGCTTTGAAATAATTTGCAAATAATAAGCAATAATTTGAAAACCCGATTTTAAAAAGAGCCTGTGCATCTGTAACCACCTGGTCTAGTGAAAGGTGTCCCATGGCAGGGGAAGTGATGAGATGGGCTTTAAGGTCCCTTCAACCCAAACGATTGTGGGGTTCTGTGAATTCCTTTTTCCCTATCTTTTCTCACTCTGCCCCTGCTCTGTTTCCCTGCAGGAATCCCTCATTGCTGTGGCATTGAGCACAGCCCAGGGGTTTGTGTGGGCAGGGAAGCCCCTGGAAGCAATTCCTGCAGCACTGCAGGCGCTGCGCTTCAGCTCCCAAGTGTTCGGCTCTGGCTCCGTGCAGCTCGTGCCCATTTTTCTGCTGCTGGCTGAGGCCTCCACGGGTGAGCATTGTCAACATGGGAATGCTGGCAAGGGCAAGGCCTCCCGGGTCAGGTTTCTGGTCTCCTGTTGCCATTTATCTGGAAAGGAGCAGCTCTGGGCCCTGCTCTGCCTCAAGGGCATTGCAGAGATTTGAGCCGTCCCACACACACACACACACACACACCCCTCACAGCCCTTTTCTGTGGCTCTGGGGCAAAGAATCTCTCAGCACTCAGGACATCAATGAAATCAAATGAAATGTTTTCTCACTCTCCACCAATTCCCACAGGAGAAGCTCTATGAAAGTCTATTCTTTACCTCTGTGGCCTTGGATGACTCTCCAAAGCATTAAATTCCAGAGGGTGGCTGGTTGTGTTTTTATCTCAGGGAACCAGCAAACATTTCAGAGGCGATTGCACCCAAAGAACTCCCCGGTTCATTCACAAATTTTGGTCTGCCTGAGCAGAGCCTTTTCTCATTGTATACTTTGGAAAACATGGCAAAAGAGGGCATGGGAGCTGCTCTCCCTGCAAGAGAGATCCCTGTGAATCAGTGCCATTCCGGGAGCACACACAATGCTCTACTGGCACAACAGAGCTGGCTCAGGGGTTGTCGTAAATGGTGCAGTGAGAGCAGGGAGAAAAAATGCTGTGAGTAATTCCCGTGTGATAAGGTGAGAGTCATCATCACCTGCCTGGAGCAAACCTGTGTAGGCCACGTGTTCCAGAGAGATTGTGTGCAGTGTATCCTCTGCCATGGAGCCAGGCTGGGAGAGCTGGAGGTGCTCGCCTGGAGAAGAGAAGGCTCCAGGAAGAACTCAGAGCCCCCTCCAGGGCCTAAAGGGGTTCCAGGAGAGCTGGAGAGAGGCTTGGGACAAGGGCCTGGAGGGACAGGACACAGGGAATGGCTTCCCACTGCCAGAGGGCAGGGAGAGATGGGATATTGAGAAGGAATTGTTCCCTGTGGGGGTGGGGAGGCCCTGACACAGGGTGCCCAGAGAAGCTGTGGCTGCCCCTGGATCCCTGGAAAGTGTCCAAGGCCAGGTCGGACCGGGCTTGGAGCACCCTGGGATAGAGGAAGGTGTCCCTGCCCATGGCAGGGGTGGAATGGGATGAACTGGAAGGTCTCCTCCAATCCAAATCAGTCTGGAATTCTGTGGTTTCTGGCTCCTTTTGGAGCTCTCTACATATTCACTTGTCTGTAAATGAGACTTTTGACACCTGGGCAACTCAGAGGCACTTGGGAAAGAAGTGGGGAATCCCCAAACTGCATCTCCATATCAAGCTACACCAAAGGGGCAGTCAGCAGTATTCTCTGACTTTCCAGATTAAAAAAAATGCTCCTTATCCTCCTTATTTCCCTGATTATCCCTACATGTCATTCCAGGCACTGGCCGTCTCCGCCAGGCAGCCAAGTATCTCTCCCAAGCCCAGTGGATCGTCCTCCAAACCCCAGACTGCAGTGCTGCTCTTCAGTCTAAGTTGCATCGTGGGCTGGGGCTTTTCTCTATTGCTGAAGGAAACCTGGACCAGGCTTTGTATCACCTGGCTAATGACGTAAGTCCCTTGGAATACAGGAACGGGGAACACTTCTATTTTAATTCCTTCTCTCCTCCCAGATAGATATGGAAATGCCAACAGGTAGATTTGTGATCTTGAGAGCATTCACATCACAGACACTCGAACTGGATAGATCTGAGACACATATGGATCCATGCGTGAGCTAAAGATGTGCTTTGCCAGTTATCCCTATTTCTGTGAAACGACAGAGAATCATGGAATCACTACAGTTGGAAAAGCCCTCCATGATCAAGTCCAACCATTCCCCCAGCACTGTCAGATCCACACCTAACCCTTGTTTCTGTGCATTTTTTGAACACCTCCAGGGATGGTGATTCCACCACTGCTCTGCACAGCCTGTTCCAATACTTGAACACTCTTCCCATGAAAAATTTTTCCCAATATCCTACCTTGCACCTCCCCTGGCACAACTTGAGGCTATTTCCTCTTGTCCTGTCCCTTGTTCCCTGGGAGCAGAGCCCGACCCCACCTGGATGCACTCTCCTGTCAAGGAGTTGTGAAGAGCCAGATGGTTCCTCCTGAGCCTCCTTTTCTCGAGTCTGAGCTTCCCTCAGCCACTCCTCATGTATTCCTCACATTCCTTGTCTTTATGGCTTCTCTCTATAAATTTCTCCATCAGCTTCATTGCAGTGCTGAGATGCCCAGACACTCCTGCCCCAAACTGATGGAGTTGCCTTTTATTCCACAGATAATTTACATTTTGGCTGTTATTTCCCTCAATACTTTCCCAGCTCTGTCACCCATTATTTAATTAATGCCTTATTTTCCTATTTCGGTATCTGGTTCAATGATGTTTTCTCCAATTCCACCTCTTTAGCCATGAAAACCGTTTGTTACATTGGAAGTGGTCATTGCCAGCTGTGTTCCTGATGATGCTTTGCCTGTCATTTGATCCTTCAAAGCCAGATGAATTTCTCCACATCCTATTTCTGTCCCATGTAAACTAAATTTATCCAGTGCCGAGTGATGTATACCCACTCCTGTGGAATTAGATAGTGGCTTTGTGTGGGTGTAAATGATGACATAAAGGGAGAAGAATTAGACCCTTTCTGTTATAACACACAACCCTGTCTCTGCTTAGTCTAGAAGGCCTTTGGGCATTTCAGAGTCCCACAAAGGAATCTCCCAAAAGGCTTTGGAGATTCCCCAAAGCTTTTTTTTTGGTGTGGTTTTTTTTTTTTTTTTTTTGTTTTGTTTTTGTTTGGGGTTTTTTTTGTTGTTGTTGTTTTTTAAGATTCCCTAAATGTAGTGCCTGAAAGGGCACCAGGTTTTTAAACCAAAAAGTTTTTAACTCTTAGCAAGTTCAGGACCTGCCTGGACCTTGGCTGCGTGTCTGGGATCTGCTGAGAGTCACACGCCAGCTCAGAATAGCTGGAATGCTCTACTACATTCCCACTGCTCCTCCGGGGCTCTGGGGAAAGAACAGGCTTGTCTGAGGGCTGGGAAAGCAGCAGGATGGGCTTTGGGAGACATGGGATGGGTGAGTGGCACAGGGAGAGGGGGAGAGGTGGGAAACCTGCCTGGACTTTAGAAAATGAACCAAGCAGGTGCTTCTGCCCCAGCCAGGGGGGGATTTAGGGTATTGCATTCCCATGGATCAACCTGAAAATACAGCTTTTTAGTACGTTCCTATGGATGAACTCTGTGAACTAGGTATATGCCAATGGATCCTATGGAAAAACCCCAAAATAGAATTCTTTAGTACCTCATTCCCATGGATAACCCCAAAACATAGAGGTTTTTATACCTTATTCCTTTACATAACCCCCAAAATACAGCTTCTTAGTGCCCCATTCCTATGGATAACCCCCAAATAGAGTTTTTAGTATGTCATTCCTTTACATTACCCCCAAAAAACAGTTTTTAAGTACCACATTTTCCAGTCACCACCAGGCATAATTTGCACATAAGAAATACCCAGAATTTGCAATATTATTAATCCACAATTAAAAACTTCCCAGGTTTGACATGAACATGAACCTTCTGGGGTTTATCTTTTGTTTAATATTGATTTCAGGTTTACCTGGCTACTGCTGAGTTTGGACTAAATTCTTTTGAGGTCTCTGGAGGTTACTTCCACATGGCCAACATTTTCTTCCACCAGAATAAAATGGATACAGCAAACTCACTCTATACTGAGGTTGGTAGAACCAAAAATCATCCTCTGAATTTTTCTCAGCTTTTTTTAGTGTTCTTTCCAAAGGTTTTTCCATTTCCTTTCAATGGGATGATGACCACATCGAGTGTCAGTGTTGCCCTTTAGGATTAATCCCAGGAACCCTTTTCATATATACATAATTCTCTGAGCTAAAACAATGAGATATTAATTCTGTAATCAGTTCAAAATTCTTAATAAACTGTCTTCAGTTTGGGCAACCAAACCTTGTTAAAAACTTTGCTAGCAAATTTCCTGTGCCAGGGGTTAGAGTCCCACCAGTACAGAGGGTCTGAGCAGTTCCTAAATCCAAGGAAGAGTGGGATACAAACAAGTCACCTAAAATTTACATTGGGAATCAGTGAAAAGTCACACTGATAAAAGATTTTCAGAATGGATTGATCAAGCAAGGAAAGTAATAATTTTCTAATTGATTTAATAACTGAAAAAAATGAACTTTGTTTAAATCAATTTGTGTGGAAATGAGGTGCTGGGAGCTGCAAAAGCCACCACCATTCCTGTCCCAGCCTTCAACTCAACTAGCTTTTGATGAATATTTAGGTTAGATTTGTTCAAGTTAGGTGAAAATCCCTAATCAGCTGGAGAAGTGAGCGACTCCAGCTGGGGCTGTGTGGTAGAGGACCAGTGCAATCCCTCTGGGAACATTCAGCCTAGCTCAGTGACCCGCAGGCACACGGAGGGTATGGGCCATGCAGGGACATTGTTTGGAGAACAACTGAATACCAGGGATTCACAGGAGTGAAATAATTCCCATGCTTCCTGCCAGGTGAGCAGCCTCTGGCATGACTGGCTGCTGAGCTCCCTTCAGGGGCACCAGCGAGTGCTCCAGGCCCAGGCAGAGGCATCGCTGTTCTCTGAGGATGAGGAAGGCCTCGAGGATGAGATGAGTAAGAGCTGCTATTGCTCCAAAACTTTGGGAAGTGAGGGGGTTAAACACCTGCACCCTACAGATTATGTTGGCAGTATTGGGGTTGGCATGGTGTTTCCAGAGGCTGAATTTAACGGCAATGCCAAGCGTTCTTGATGTCAGTGCTCGGCAGATTGCCACACACTTCGGGAACGAGGGTGTTCTGTGGAAACGCAGCTTTGCCCTTGTTATTTGCATTCTCCATTTCATGCACTGACTGAAGCAAAGCAAGATTTGATTCATGGACTCATGGACTCGGGTTAGAAAAGACCTTTAAAATCACCAAATCCAGCCATTCCTCCAGCATTGTCCTGTTCACCACTAACCCACATCCCTAATGCCACATCCATGTGTTTTCTGAACACTTCCAGGCATGCTGACTCCACCATCTCCCTAGGCAGCCTCTTCCAATGCTTTAAAAGCCTTTCCATGAAGAAATTTCTTCTAGTATTCCAAGTAAACCTCCCCTGATGCAATTTGATACTTGAGCGTTCTCATTTCTTTGCAGCTCCTTCATATCCCTTTAATAATGAATGTGAAGTTTCAGCTCACTTAGGTGGGGGTACAGCTCCCTCCTGGAGCAGCAGGACATGATGGAATAGCTTGTACAGATAATTGGATGTATTAATCAGGAGAGTATTCTTGGAAGAAAGGCTGGGGAGTCTCTCACTGGCACATAGAGGTGCAGAAAGCATCAGTGTGCTGCTGATACTACCTCAGGCTCCCCTGAAACCAGACAGACTCTGGTTCTTGGCTCCTTTCAACCATCTTTGCTAGAAAGGACATTGTCAGGAAAGGGAATAAAAACTTCTCTCCCTGGAATGTTCAGGGTCAGGTTGGACACCTTCCTCTATCCCCAGGTTTCTCCAAGCCCCATCCAACCTGGCCTTGGACACTTCCAGGGATGGGGCAGCCACAGTTTCTCTGGGCACCCTGTGCCAGGGCCTCCCCACCCTCAGACTATGTTGATGTTTGTAGTAGCAATAATTTGCTGTCTAGAAGAGCCAGTTGGGCTGTTGGCAGTTTTGATTCTGTTCTCTTGCACAAATCCATCCATCAAGATAATTTCTTTCTCCATGTAGCTGAAGTCCAGCACGAGGAAGGAACACGGGTGCTGCAGGCAGTGCTGAAGGTCCGGGAACAGGGACCACTGCAGCATCCTGGGGAAACAGCCCGAGTCCTGCATGCCCTGGCCATGATCCACTACCTGAGCCTGGATTTAGCCAAGGTAGGTTGTGTCTGAAAGGGTTCAGGAGAATTGGCCAACAACTCTGGGGGTCGTCCTATCTCCTGGTCCTCTTGTTCCCCAGCACCACTCCTGAGCCCACAGCGCTGGTGACCAAGGACAAAGTGCCTCATAGCTCTCAAACCAAGGGCTTAAGTGGGATATTAAGAGGAAATCCTAATCCATGGTGGGGAGGCCCTGGCACAGGGTGCCCAGAGAACTGTGGCTGCCCCATCCCTGGAAGTGTCCAAGGCCAGGTTGGATGGGGCTTGGAGCAACCTGGAATAGTAGAAGGTGTCTCTGTCATGGGATATGCAATCAGCTTTAAAGTCCCTTGCAAGCCAAACTATTCTATAGTTCTGTGACCCTCACTCTGTCAAGGCTGAGAATCCTGGTGGATGTGTTTTGGTCTCTGCCAGGCCAGTGGATCCTGCAGTTATCCACATTTTCTGGCTTCATCCTTTATCTGGGCTATCTTGGCAGTGTAGCTGCCTTTAGACCTCAGCTCAGGGGTTACACAGAGCAAGATCTGGGGCTCACAGACCTATCCTTGAGCCAGACTCCCCTGAGTTCAAGGTTCAGTCTATTGGAGTCTGTAATTCCAGTTTGGCATCTGCATTCCTGCATCTTTATGGCTTAAAAATTCACAAGTAACTTCTGTGCTTTACGAAGAATTGATTTTGAGGAAGTGCTAAGCAGACACCATCTGGAAATCAGGCCCCTCTGTTTGGAATTGGAGCTTAAAACTCTTAGTTTCTTCAGCCTAGGTTTTGAGGAGTGAAAATATAGGTGGTGAAAAATACTGTGTTGAAATATTAATGGTCTTTTCATTGTATTGTAGAAAGCTGATGCCTTTAGTTTTAAGTTTTCCTGTTCTCCTTGGATGTGCTTTTCTGATGTGCTAGGGTGAGGAAGACAAAACAGTCCTATTCTAGTTAAGAACTCAAGGACAGTTTCTCCAAACTTCAGGTCCTAAGCACAAACTAAGTGGAAAGGTGGAGGGTGGGTTCATGCAAATTAACCAGAACCTATAAAAGTGTAAGATTTTGTGACCAACCCTCTCTTTTCCTTCCATCTTGGAGCCATCTGGGCAGGGGCCACTGTGGCACCTGTATTGCTTGGGTGTGGCTTTTGTAGGCCTTTTGTGGGCCTCACAATAAATACCCATTTTGTTCCCCTTAGCTCTGTGTGTAACCTCTGTTCCAGCTCCTCGAGGCATCAAAGCCACGACTTGGGATTGTTTAGGAGACACAAACAAATTTAAATTTGTTTGAAAAAGAAAAAAGATAAAGCTTTATAATTGTAAGAGTGTCTAATCCCTGGAAGAGCTACTAAGGGAAATTATTTAGTTCCTTATCAAGAGAAATGAAGGATTTAGTTCAGAGGCAAGTACAGCTGTTTTTCTTCCCTGATATAGCTTTGGGATCGTTCAAAGGAGTTGTGTTAGACAGGAGGTGATGTCCAGCATGGGGGGCTGGGGTCAGTAATCTCCTGTCTGCACCACTGGATCCTAAATATGGCAGCTTTAGGCTCTCCTGTAAAGCAGCTTGTACAGGTCACCTCGGAAAGGGAGTCTGGATCTGCTCCAGGCTGCTCCTGCACTGAGCCTCAGCAGGTATTTAACTACCCCATGAGAAAAGCCAGATTCCTGACAATCCCTGGGTGTTTCTTCTGTCCCATTCCAGGCTCGAGAGGTGGGGATGAAAGCCTTCGACCTGACCAAGCAGCTGCCCCAGCAAGACTCTCTAGAAACCATTGGTCACCTGCTGGAGCTGATTAATGCCCAGTTTTCCCACACCACATAAGAACTGGCTCTGCCAGACCCAGGTGTTTGGCCAGGTTCTCTCTTATCCAGGTTCCTGAACCATGAGCGTCACAAACCCTTGGTCCTTCCTGCTGCTGCCTCTTTCCAGCTGCGTCCCTGGCTGTCCCAAACTGTTTGGAAAATAAACATTTTGGTCTGAATTAGTCTTCATGTGCTGCTCCACCTCTGTAACCTCTCAGAGAGTAACAGCAGCAGGGTGAGAAACAAAAGCACCATGAACACACTGAATGAATCATTTATTGGCCAGGCTGGGAATAAGCAAACAGCCTCTCACAGCCTCGTGGTGGCTGTCCAGGAGCCAAGACTTGCTCAGGTGTGTTTCTTACTGGTTTCCTGGCTTTGCTTGCCAGTTTGGTGAGGGAGATCCCATGGAGGGAGAGGAGAGGGACACAGGGAAGGGCTGGGGTGGTGGACATCTGCTCCCTGGGACCTGGTTGGGTTTGACAAGGCATTGCAGCTTCCTGCAGAGCCCCTCTATCTCTAAACCAGAGAATCACAGCCTGGTTTGGAAAACCAGACTGGTTTAATAAGCTCATCCCACTTCATCCCCTGTCATGGGCAGGAACACTTTCCACCACAGCAGGTGCTCAGAATTTTCTCTTTCTGCAGAGCTTCTAGTAGCTCTGGGCACTGATAAACTCCTTTATTCCACTTCCATGGGTAGAAATTCCACAGGAAGGACTTCCATCCAGGAGGAACCATGGGAGGCATGAGGGACTCTAAACAATCTTGAGGGAAAGAATAAAAAGGCTCCAACTGGGCATTCTAACCTAAAGGAGATGCAGTTTCGTCCTGGCAGAGAGCTGACATCCCCTTGGATCTGCCACCACCATCAGGAGGAGCTGCTGCCATAAGGCCCATTCCCAACTTGCTCCTGCCCCAGGGAAGGGCGAGACCCCTTGGGACAGAGGTGACCCTGCTGGGGAGGGACATGGACACCAGGGCAGGGCCAGATGCCGGAAGGCTCCAGAGGCCGTGGGGAGTGTGGGAAGCACGGTGCAGCTGCCGGATTTCATGATCCCTCACGGCTGGGAAATGGGAGAATGGAATCTCAGCCTGTGCTGGGCTGAGCCCTGAGCTCCGATTAAGGCTCATTTACTTCAGGAGGATTTATGAGGGTGTTTAATTGCCTCACTGAGTTGGGCTGGAGTCAAGTGCGCTTTGTAAACGCTTCGTCAAGCTGGGGCCTGAGCAATTAGCAGGGATTGCTGCTGCTGGGGAAGGGAAAACCACAGGTTCAGCCACGTTCCATTCCAGAGGGTGGGATAAGGCTGCTTGGGGTGCACAGTACAGGCCTGGAGAAAGGCTAGGAGACCTCCCAACACTCCTGTGGGAGATGCTGCTGGTCTCTCCATCTCATCAGGTGTGGAATAACCATCTCTATGGGGTGGGGGATGCTGGAATGGGCTGGAATGATCGCCTCCATGGGGTGGGGGATGCTGGGGGACTGTGCCTGCTAGCACAATGCCCCAGGGCACAGGGATTTGGGTCACCAGGGATTTGGAACTCCGTCGTGGCTGTAATCCTTCCAGTGCTCCCAGGCTGAGCCTGCGGAGCCGTGTGGCTGCTCTGGATGTTCAACAAAACAAACCCAGCCTGGAAATGAAGGTTGTGCAGGGCTGAGCATCTCCCGGAGCCAGGAACAAAACAACAGAGTGAGGAGAGGAGCCCTGGACACAGAAAGAACATTCTGGGGAGCTCTTAAAGACACTACCAGAGCGATTTCCTACAATAGCCTCGCCCAGTGTGTGCCCTGAAGGGCAAAGAGCTGCTCCAATAAATAGAAAAAAGCCTGAAGTGACCAAGATCAGCATTTCTTTGCCTGAAAGTGTTCAGGCTTGCAGTTCTTGGCACCTTCTCAGCTGAAGGAGGAAAAAACCAAATCCATGGAGCAGCAGCAACCTCCTCCCTCCATTACCTTGCTCAGGTGCTCATGGCACGATCAAGGCTCTGTCCCGGGCAAGGGGAGCAGGCTTGGGATCCACAGGGCAGGACAGCTCCAGCCAGATCCCCTCCATGATCCCAGCCCAGGCTGCTCCAGGCAATTAAAATCTGGTTGTACACCCAGAGCAGGTATTTTGCAACCAGGTGAGTCGTTCCCGTGGTGGAAAAGCTTTGCAGGGACACGTACTCCCAGACCCCCCCCCCCCCCCCCCCCCCCCCCCCCCCCCCCCCCCCCCCCCCCCCCCCCCCCCGGCAGGGCAGGCAAAGTCCAGCTCCAACAAATAAAGGCACAGGACACTGGGGCTGGGTGGCTGCTCACATTCTCCTTTATTGTTCACACCACACACCTTCCCCTTGGCACTTCACTGCAAGGATTTGCTTAAAAAAACCACACACGCACCCCCAGAGCTTGGTGTGGCTGTGCCACAACCAGCTGAGAACAGGCATTTTTAAAGAGATTTATTTTATTCCCCCCCACTTTATTTTCTTTCAAGTGTTATCACTTCCAAACCAAACAAATAAATTTTTTAAAAGATACTATTAAAAATAAAAATTTAAAAAACCCCCCCACAAACCGAAAAAAACAACCTTCCCTGTGGCTTTGGGAATGTGCCAGGAGCTCCCACACCAGCTGCACTCAGGGAAATGCGTTTTTTTTTGTGTATTTTCAGTTTTGTTTGAAAAGGACAGTATTTCTCATGTGTATTTTTTTAATATACTACAGCCTGAAATTCAGTGCAATAGATACAACTACAGTGCAGAACTATACAAAAGTCATCCTATTTTCTTAGTTGCTATAGAAACTATAACCTTTTTCTGTACCTTTTGTATGCATTATACAGTGTGAATATACTCCGAGAATATTTACAGTACTTGGCTTGTCAAATCAGAACTTCTATAACTTAAATGTCTACTATTAACAACCATTGAACAAAAATATATATAATATAAATATCTTCCAGTCTATACACAGAGCAGGAAACGGCTGTATCCATGCGGTGCTGGATTTTGGTGAGTCCCGGGATGGGGGTGGTGATGGAGGGGGATGTTGTCGTGTGCGGCTGCCACTGGCGCTTCACTGTCGGGCAAATATTGCCGAGATTAATCCCAAAATTCAACAAGAAGACATCTCCCCTCTCCCATTTTCCCCTCCCATCTGGAATTCAGGCAAAAGGAGAGGAGCCTACGACAACGGATTGACCTTTCCAACCGATCCATCTGGACGGCTCCGTCCTCCACGCTGCCCCGGGCGGGAGGTCCCCGTCCACGAACCCACCACGGGGCTTGAAATCAAGGAAACTTTAAAAAATGACTCCTTTTCTTGGTAGTTTTTCTTTAAAAAAATATTAGATTTAGTCAATTTATGTGATTTCTTTCCTCTATGATTAGAACGTTAAAAAATAAGGTTTCCAGCTTTTTAAAAACTTCCTCTACATGATTTTCCATTAAATAACTATCGCGTCGTTAATAAACAACAGGGAATTGCCCTCCTGCTGGTGGGGGCTGCGTGGCTGGGTTTTAAAACACCTATTGGCTTTGAAATCCTGGACGCGAAACCAGCTAAAAAAGAAAATAAAATAAAATTCGTTCCTAGCAGAAAAAAAAAAATAAAACAGGTCAGTCTGTCCCCAGTAAACCACTGGGGGAGGCTGGAGAAGGGGCGTCAGTGCTGGACCCCCACCCCACTCCCTCCTGTCTGGGGTCTGTACAAAGTGTTTTAAAAAGTCCCCCTAGATTTGGGGGGCGGTGGCGCCGGGGGTCCAGGTTACACCTGCGAGTCAGCGCCCAGGCTGTGGAACTCGTCCGGGGTCTTGTCGCTCTGGCCGCCCCCGCTCTGCCGGAAGCCCGAGGCAATCTCGTCAAAGGTCCGGCCTTTGGTCTCCGGCACCTTGAAGTAGGTGAAGATGAAGAAGAGCACGAGCAGCACCGTGAAGATGATGAAGACGTAGGAGCCGCAGAGTTGCTGGGATTGAAGGGAAAGGGGAAGGTGAGCATATGGATGGAAGTCAAAGAATCATGGAGCTGTTGTGGTTGGAAAAGCCCACCAAGATCGAGTCCAACCACCAACCCAGCACAGCCAGGTCCACCCCTAACTCATGCCCCCAAGTGCCATATCCACATGTTTTTGAGCATTTCCAGGAATGGCGACTCCACCACCTCCCTGACCACTCTTTCCATGAAGAAATTTTCTCAATATCCAATCTAAACCTCAGCTTGGGGCTGTGTCCTCTCATCCTGTCCTTTGTTTCTTGGGAGCAGAGCCCAAGCCCCCTGGCTGTCCCCTCCTGTCAAGGAGTTGTGCAGAGCCAGAAGGTTGCCCCTGAGCTTCCTTTTCTCCAGGCTGAGCCCCTTTCCCAGCTCCCTCAGCTGCTCCTGGTGCTCCAGCCCCTTCCCAGCTCCGTTCCTATCTCTGGACACAGAGTAATAGGCCATGGCTAAAGGACCAGCTGGTACCACCCTGCCCACACCTTGCCATGGCTATCCAAGACCCAGGTCCTCCTTTCAAGGAACATCTTGAGTTCCATAAGGAACACTAAGTCAAGTTCCTGCTCCAGCCCCAAGTCCTTCTTCCCAAGGGATCTTAACCCAACCAAACCGCTTTAGCCCAGGTTTCAGGGCTCAAGGATGTGGCCCTGGAATTCAACACTGGGATCCAGCAGCAGGATTTGGCACCAAGATCTGACACCAAATTCCAGCAACGAGATCCAGCATGAGGAACCAGGAACCCACAACCAGACCTGGGCTTTGGATTTGGCAGCAGGATCCAGCAATAGGATCTGGCACTGGAGTCTGGCACAGGGATCCAGCATCAGGATCCAGCTGGACACTGTTTCCATCCCTGATCCAGAACTGGGATCTGGATCCACCCTGAACCAGTACAGTCTGAGAGGTTGGGACTGAGACTCCCCCAAATTGCTGGGATCCCCTGGGACTCACACCCAGATTCCTGGGAATCCTGTCCCCCCAGTCACATCCCCCCACTCCTCCAGTATTCCAGCCATGATTACCGCAATGTACTGGAAGCCCATTCCCACGATGAAGTTGGAGGTCCAGTTGGAGAGCCCAGCCACGGCAAAAGCAGCAGGACGGGGGCCTTGGCTGAACAGCTCCGCCACGATGAACCACGGGATGGGGCCTGGGCCAATCTCAAAGAAGGC